GTCAGAACACGGTCTGCTCATTCAGACAAACTCCATTTTGAAAGCTAGAGGCACAGTCACAGTCCTCTGCATCTGAATAATTCAGGTGCTGCTTTTCCATCCACCTCTGCTGCTGGAACCGTTGGGTTTGTGCTTTCAGGTCTCCATGAGGTTGGTGTTTAAGGTTGGCTTTTTTGTGTGATTTTTGAAATCTAAAATTCTCAGCAAAACAGGAATCATGCTCGATGATTTTTCAGCACTGGGGCTGACTGTAATTTTTTCCCTGCTGAAACAACCAAAAGAGTTATACACAGATTTGGAGTCTGTGAACTCCAGACAATCGTAGGCAGACATACCCCCCTTGCCACAAGCATTCTTTATGTGCAAACTTCAAACCTGCAGATTGGTTCTCCTCTCCCTTTTCTTTACTTCAAAGTCTCAAACCGCTCAGAAACATTAGAATCGTTAAGGTTGGAAAAGGCCACTAAGACCATCAAGTCCAACCATCACCACATTGACCCAAGGCACTGGGGTGGAGCACGTCAGAAACAACCCATGGCTCTTGGTGAATGAGGTTACAGACCTGCAGTGCTTACCCATTGGGCAGCAGGGCTGCTGAGTGAGACCACTGGCATTTCCCCACGATGACTGAGGTGCATCGCTGTAATTCCATTTCCAGCAGGTGGCAAAAGTCCCAAAATAATGACATGTTGTTGTACTATCGAGGAAAAACAATAAAAGATTTGCCCTCAAAATAGTGCCAGTTCGGTATTAAGAGCAAAATACCAACGTGTTATCTCCTCCAACATCTGCAGCTGGGTGCAGTGCCAGCCTCGCTGCTTCGTTCTCCCTCCAGTGAACCACATGATTGTGAGACTTCTTTCTCCATTATGCTATTAGGAACAGCGTAAATCTCATTATTCCAGAATATGAATAATAATAATAAAGATGTGGAATGCTCTTGATACCTTCCTGAAAGGTGAAAGCTTGTTAACACAGCTCTGCTTGCTCCTGTGTCTACACGGAATGCATTCAGGAGGGTTGCCAGGTGAAGAAAGCATTAGAAAAGTCCTGAAATCTTGCTGAGGTGAAGCAGGGAAACACGAGAGCATTTCTTTTCCTGAGAGAACTGATCTCATGAGAGCGCAGTAAACACCCCAGGGTTGGAAGCCAGAGATTGCTGTGTAACTCACATCTCACACCTCAGCACAGATTAAATCTTTAACATTTCTATTAAAGACTTTTTTTTTTCCCTCCTTTTAAAATTGATTTTGTAGCAATATCAGTTGCCACAGATTTGTCTGATGACTTTAGTGACTCCTCAATAGCAGTGGTGTTGCTGCTCCAGGTGCTGCCTGGTTAACACCCCTGCAAAGTCAGTGTAAAACCCAAGAAATCCCATTGTGTTGAGGACTGGGAGGAAAATATCATGCTATGAAATGAGGCCCTTGGGTTCAGGTTCACCCTGCTGGGTGGTCAGGTCTGTCTGTCCATCTGTGGTGCCCAAAGCCCCCATCGAGTCACTGCACCACCAACACTACAGATGGAGCCTGGAGCAAATGCCCAGCACAGCTGTGCTACCCAAAACCAAACAAACCAAATCTGCTGATTGCAGCTAAGGCTTTTGAAGATTACACCAAGTCAAACTTTTATTAGCAAAGTTGAATTTCATGTAAAATGAAAATATCTTTTAAAACCATACGTGCACATATGCATGATACAAACAGCCACTACGGTACAACACAGTTCTCTAAACTTTAATCAATGCACACTAACATTTAGCTCAAAAAGGAACATCGTAATGGTGACACCACATTTGCTTTGATCTTTTCTCATGAAATTACAATGTGTTGTTTAAAGTAATAATAATAAAAAAAGGAAACCAAGGATGCTTTGGCTCAAACCCATGTACTGTTTTCTGCATGGAAGCTGAAAAACCAGCACGGAGCATGGAACTCACTCATCTCATCGTGTGGTTGGAATTTGTACATGAAAGATACAGAACTGCAATGTTAACACAGATTGGTACTCCAACATTGCTATTTGTCATGTATTGGGATGCTGAACATTTGAAGGGATGCAGCTGAGGGCTCGATCCATTGTCAAAGAAAGGAAATTCTCTTGCCATAAAGAACTGTAAATATGTATTTTTGATATCTGTTCTTTCAGATACTTAAACTAATCTAAGACTTACCACACACCTGAAAAATAACGGCTATAAGAAATTATGATGAGATTTCCTTTCAGAGGTGAATGCTACTTTATCTTTAGTTTACAAAACTACATGTGGAATTACTGTAAAAAAAAAAAAAAAAGAAAAGATAATCCTTAGTATAGAAAGATTGTGCTAGCACTTGTTTTTACCTCGACTACTGACCTGAAAACCTCTCGTGCACTGCATTTGACCTATTAAGTCAATGGAAGTAGTCATCAGAATAAAGAGCTGCTCATTAAAATTGGGATAATAAGGCCACAACAGAATAAAAATCATAAATCATTAAATGATATACGCTATTTAAATCCATTTAAAACTTGTATAGTAAACATAAAATCTCGTTATACATGCAGACATTTTAATCCTGAGGGAAATGCCATTTCCTGGCATGGTTTCTAACCCTGCTGCTGAGGATCCAGCCCTGTATGCAGCCCTCTGCTGAGGAGTGGCAAAGAAAAAAGAACTTCTTGAGAGTACATCCCCAGTTTTAGCCAATTTTTTATAATCCATATATTGAAAAAGGTCTTAGGACTGAAATTGTAACCCATACCAAATCAACAATGCACTCCAAACAGCTCACCAGCACTGGAGCTTGCACACAATGTTGTTTTCTTCAATTATTTGTTCATTTCTCAGGGGTGTGTGCTCCCCGTTACTTAGGAGGAAAGGATTTTATTTGCTTATCTTACATACAGTCAAATCCTGACAACTTTTTGAGAAACATCCATACCTCTCTTGCTCCATAAGGGGCTGCTTAAGGCCACAAGTCAGGATTCCTGCAGCCAGGGAAATGCCTCTCCTCGCTGGATAAAACTGCATTCCACGTTGGCACGGACATCAAATCTGAAAGTGTCATTTCTCCTCTTGCAGCAAAAAGCAATGGCACAGGATAGCCAGCTGCAACCAAGAACCCCTGGAACCCATAGTTACTAATTGCCTGACACAGCCTGCAGGCTCATGCACTGGTCACCCCTGACTCCCTCATCCCATTTTAACAAACACCCCTGGTCAGAGCAAAACTGCTATATGATGCATGGCCTCCTGCCAAAAAAAAAAAAAACCAAAAAAACAAAAGGGAGGGGGAAATAAATGATTGGAAAAGAGAAAAACGTTCACGTGAGCGAGACTCCCTGGGAGATTCAGCCATTTGTTTAATATTCATTGGGTATATTCCTCAAAAGTCAGTGCACACTGTACAAATTCCACTGCACATCTTTTTGTCACTGTGTGATTTTTAGGCCCTGAGGCACAATGAAACACTAACATTAAGATTTAAGGATCGGAATTAAAATTTTAATAGAAAAAGCACTCATTCCAAGCATAGATGAGTAGCACATCACAGGAATGTCATAAACGTAGCTTAGCAGCAGCAGAGCAAGTGATAGCACAGGGGATTTATTCATTCTTCGATAAGCTGACACTCGCTAATGCAATTTGAAGTTTGTGTCTGTTTAACATAGGTGTTTTCCAGGACAGTGAGTTTGGTAGATTGCATCAACCCACAACACAAGAATACACAGAGCTGTGGCTGCTGATAGGTGGCATCACAGAATGGCCTGGGTTGGAAGAGACTCAAGGATCATGAAGCTCCAACCCCCCTGTCACATGCAGGCCTCCAGTGGTACTCTGGGTGAGAAAACCCCACTGCTGGGAACACTGCCTGCTTCAGCCCTTCCCAAGCTCTGCACAGGGACAGTGGTGCAGTCCTGTGGGTGCCTGCCCTGATTGCATTCCACAGACATCCATACCTTGAGCATCTTTGCCTAAGGACACTGCCAACGTCCTCCAGGTCTAACACCCAGGGGGGTTCTGTAAGCTGTGCAGCTGAGGATGCTAGGAAAGGAAAGTGAGGAACCATTTGAGATGCATCTGGAACTTCACTATGTGCTGAAATATCTCCACGTAAAACACAACACATTCAGTGAAAATGTCAGAAAACAAACCAATGCATCTGCCTGAGCCAGTGCAGGTGATTCCTAGAGGAAATGCATTAAAACCAGAAAACGAATGCAACAGAAGCTGCCACAAGGCTCATCAGCTCTCAGGCTACAGCAGATGAAGATCCTGGCTCTGTAGACAAGATGCCCATTTTCACATTTCTCCACTTATGCTACCTACTTCTTAAATGAAGCTTTTTTTTTTTTTTTTTAATGCTGATGACTTTGGATTTCCTCAGTATTCAGACTGAGTGAAAGACAAAATAGAAAACTTGATAAATAATAAAAAAGTGAATGACATGGTCAAGTCCTTCACAACACAGGGCTAATGGATATGTACTGGGGGCTGTTTCTGACAGATTCTTGCTGATCCTGCTCACACATATGGCAACACAGCTGGCTTTTTCAAAACAGAGGCTGCAGGAAAGGTCCTTACAAGCAAAATACAAAAAAAAAAAACAAATGAGGAATGGACAGACAGGAACATCAAGCACCAAAACCCCTTCCTATGTTCAGAAACCATGCACAAGTAGCTGCCTGTAGTCCGTGGCCCTTCCATTGTTAGGAAAGTGCACTCCTATGCACAACCATTAGAGCTTTAGTTGTGGGGGTTATCTGTAAACCCGTAATCATTTGAGTAATTCTTGCTTCCTTTCTTTCTTCCACTGAAGTAATGGAGACCATAAAGGAGCCGTCAGGGATATTTGCCTAATTAATACCATGACATAAAATGGCTTTTAGGACCTCCTTGAATAACTGTTCAAAAAATATTTTAATTGAAGCGATGATGACTTGTAAGTTCAAAAAGAAATGAAGCAATATTAACAGTTTCAAAATGCAAATGTTTTAAAAAGAAAATCAGGAGATTCCAATACAAAAAGACCAAAAAAACGTGCTGGGCAGCTTTGCTGATTTAGTCATGGGAAGCACTGGCAAAGAACAGAACCAGATTTAAACCAGCATTAAGTAAACACAATATAAAGAAACTGTACTGTAGTATTTTCTCTTTGCTTTTGCTTCTGTTTATTTAACAATGAATAATTTGAAAATAAACAATCTTTTGAAAGTCAGTAGATCTATTTTATGGGATACTAAAAAGAAGACTTATATGACCGGTATACACACAACTCTGCTGAAATCCTGTTTTGCTGGTTGAAAGTCATACTGAGAAGCAATTCTATTCCTACACAGCTATACAGACCCATGCTAGCAACATGTCTCATTTCAAAAGAAAACAAGGCTGATTTTCACTTGTGTCACTATTAATATCATCTGTACAACATCTCCATGAAATGTATGCTAGCACACAGATATACAGATATGAGACGGACAAAGCACTTTGCTTAGAAATGCAGCTTGCAGAGACTGAGGAAAACAAATGAAAATTCTTTCTAATGACAGTGGATGGGAACCCTGTTTCACCTTGCCACAGGAAAGTTACTGCAGCTTAACTTATTTAAGGAAATAGTGCCAGCTACTGGACACATCATCCACAAGGCCAGAGCTTCGTCTTCCGAGAACAAATTTTCTGTGGAAAAAGTTGCATCTCAAAGTACTGGTAATTGCAGTCAGCTGTAACCACTAAAACAATTTTAGAGTATCATAAGCAAAGGAGTTTATGCCTGTACGAAAATATTATACAATATAGAGAATATTTTTCTCCAGTGTTTTAAAATATCATTTTTCTCAGTAGGATGCATTGTGCCACTATGCAGAGTACCCTGCGCTTTTGCTCACGTTCCTTGCTGTGTTCTGACCTCTGTAATACTGAGATCATGATACACGAGGGAATACCACGCATAAATGTATGTACAAAGTGACAACAGCCACAGAAGGAAAAAAAAAACAATACTATACAGAGAACCACATTACAAACGTAAGAAACATGGAGTAGCAGTTAATTATACGTATGTGACGCTGAGAAACTCTGTTTTGGTAAGACTGACATATTTTGTATAATAAAGAATGCTTTGTTTTGTTTCAATTAGAAGAAAATACCTAAAAGTTAGGATGGAAAAGTCTCGAAAATCATCTCTTAGTGGCAGTGACTTTTTTCCCCGTTACCTGATGTCAGTCTTGCTCAGTTGGCAACCTGCTTCCAATCCCTTCTGGTAACTGTGGAGTACTGATCAATATAAATATCACAATTAAACATGAATCTTCTCACTAGAATTTTATGCGTGGAGAGGAAAAGTTGCTGTAGAGCTCCCATTGCCTTCGACTGATCCTTTTTCCTTAGATCCAGAATAAGCTCCAATAAATGAACCATCTTCATTGAACATCCCGTGCTCCCCTTCTCCATAATCTACCAGACTATCAGCACTTTCGGTGGCTTTAATGTCCCCGTTAATGGACCGCAGGCTGCCTTTCAGCGGCTTTTCATCGCTGTCACTACAAAACAAAGAAACGCCTTTCCAAAAATCTAGCTTTTGATTGCATGCACGGAAACTACTCTTTTACTGTGAAGAATGCAGCAGGAGGGAAGAGCAAAGGAAACATTTCTCTGTGGGTTGTGCATTCAGAGCAACCCAAGTCCTCTTTGGTCCAGTGCACCTCACACAGTTCATCTGCGCTGATCTATGATATGCCTGAATGCCATGTGCGTGACTTTCTGATTAACAGAATGAATAACATATTAATCTACTCAAATGCTGTATTTGTTCAATGGTATTTTGAGGGGTAAATGGACAAATCTATCAGAAAATTAAGAAAAAAAAAAAATTTTATTACCTATTCATTCTATTGGTAATGCAGAAGAATAACCAAAGCAGCCTAATGTCTGTTGACTGACTGACTGACTTTCCACTGACCTTTAGAATCATCATATAATCATAGAATGGCTTGGATTGGAAGGGACCTCAAGGATCATCAAGCTCCAACCCCCTGCTGCAGGCCAGGCTGCCAACCTCCATACCTTTGCTTATTTCTAAACAATTGAGAAAACAGTTCCATGAAGGACCACTGTTAACATCCTACAGACTCAGATTTTGCAGGTGGCTTGCTCAGTAACAAATGCCGGTAAAGCCTATCACAGATATGGAGAGAAATCCCATAGCATATGGCAACGTGCCCCCAGTTCACTGCAGCCCCCAAGTGCAGAGCCCTGCCTGGCTCTGTAGGGGCTGAATGAAGGGAAGGGGACATCAGGATTCCAAATAAATCTATCATGTTCTAAATATAATTTCAATTCTTGAAAATAATCAAACACAAAGAGGAGAGGGAACGTAGGTTAAAAGATTATTAAAAGCATAAAATCAGGGCTCTGAACTAGTCCTGGCTAGTGCCAATCCAGTTTGAAAGCTTTGGTAATGTTATATGAGGAATGACAGAGAAACACATTTGAACTTCAACTCAACCACAACTACACTCAATCTCTTCAGCATATAATCAATTGCACACATAATCTATACAACAACAACATTTCTTCTTATAAAATAAGGCAAACTTGGAGTTTTGGGGGGAAGGGGAAGGGTCAAAGTGATTAACCTCAGGACTTTCTTACCTTTCTAAATATTTGTCCCATTAGAAAGCATTAAAAATTAAATAAAGATGAAATTATGCAGAAAAAAAATATTCCAGTACAAATAATGTAGTATATATAAGTGGGATTTCACCAGAAATGTTACGTCTTTAAGGCCAGCTGCACCAGTTTTCCAGCATGGCTCTTATAATAATATAATTTTCTTCATATCACATTTAAATAGAAATATTGACAGCTTTAGTTATTTTGATTCAGCCAAAGTGATAATTTCAGTTCTCCTACAGGAATTTCTGCAGTGAGATGGTATTTTTCAGTTGCTTGTTTCTATTTTTTCTTGCCATCTCTCTTACAAGCCCATTGAAGACAAGGCAATCTTTCTATTGCCTTCAGTGCACATCAGAGCACAACCCCAAATTATCCAATATATTTACATTATTCATACAATGTTTAAAAAAAAAAAAAAAAAGTGAAAAACAACCACTGATGCATCAACATTTACTTGTATCCCAATCTGGATGGATTTCAGTGTGCTGGATATACCTGTATATCCCTACTGTTATCCACTCATGTCAGGTTTGCTTTAGAAATGAAAAACAGCGTTACTTGCATGCTATAAAAATGTCCTAAATAATGATGACGTCTGGAAACAAACAAAAGCCCAACAGACAGAAACGCTTGTTAACACAGGTCCTATTTACCTATATTCCCCAAAGATTTCATCTTTTATTGATTGAGCTTCAGGGTCTGGATGCAAATCTTCTTTTTCTTTCACTGTACAAATAAAATAAAGCACAGATCTGTATGCCGTGTTCCGTGGCAGATTTTTCATTTTGCAGGCGTGATGGGAGACTCGCCTGTCATCTCCTACAGCCTAAACCCAGGAGCAGCAAGGACCACACCCAACAAGCATGCTTCTACCAACTTGGTGCCATCACGGAATTGTTAAAAAGCCACTGGGTGTTCGCGCTTACATCTTTACTCGTTGTTTTGAAAAATAAAGAATTACGTTTAGCAAAACAGGTGCTCAGCAGCGTGGCTACTCATGCAAGTTATGGCAGTTGTTAAGCAGCAGTTATCAGGTAGGAAGTGGGCACATCTCCCAGCCAGACGGGGCTCAGAGCCTTTGCTGAAGGACATGGCTCTGCGGGTGCATTACGCACTGTGAGATCCAACAGGCAGAATCCAGGCCTGAGCTGCAGCTCTGACCTGCACACTGCACTGCCTCTCACAGAGACACGGTTTCACTTATATTCATTAGAACCCATTCCGTGGATATTTATCAAAAGCTGCAAATCCTAATTGGATGTTTTCGCTTGCGGCTTTGCAGCCTCCAGAGATAACAGGCTGAAGAATGTCTGTTATTAGCATGCGAGCACAGCAGAAGAACAATAAATCCATTTACCTGAGTATTTTCCTCCTTTATTTCTTCTGACAAAGCAAATAGTTAGCAGCATCAGAGTGAGCAAGGCAATGGCACACATCAGTCCAATAAACCAGCCCTGGGTGGAAATCCCATCGTAAATGCCTGCATAGGCTTTGTGAAACAGGAGTTGAAAAAAAGAAAAAGAACATTAATCAGATGAAAATGGCATCACCCTGCCATTAAGTAAATATATAACATTTTCTTCACTGAATCATGATTGAATCAGAGTATCACTACTTATCGTGTTCAGCGTAAAGAAATACAAGGCAGAAATATGTCCAGAGCATGACATTTTTAGACTTCAGGTGAACGTGCTGACTACAGGGCACAATATAGACATTTTGGAAAGGTAATTCTGAGAGAGCATTTGACTCAAAGGATTAATGCCAAACGGGAAAGCTGAACGGAGAATTGTTAAGCTTCTCATGCAAAAGTAGTTTTGTGAAAGAAATAGAGTTAAAAGTGCACCTGATGCATGCAAAGCACTGGACTGGCACATTTAGAATGGATTATATCACAGCACTACACAAAATCACACTGGTAAAGCTATGCTTTGTAAGGGTTTGTAATTGTTCCAGGGTCTTGTGCATCAGTTAAAGCACAAGGCTCATTTATGTTCCTATAGGACTCGACTACAAGAGCCAGCTTAAAAATCACAGAACACAATGATCCAGTAAAGTCTTTGGTGCGCTTTCGTTGCACAGTGTCATATATAACGTCAACATTTACTGACATTCAAAATAAATCTGTATCATCTTGAAGGGTTTCATTTCTCACCTCTCCCCCTCGTCTCAATTACATCTTCAAAAATGCTATTGTTATCAACCCAATTCTTAGTCACTAGACGAACTGTATATTCAGTTCCAGGCTCAAGTGCCTCAATGGGGTGAAACTTTTGGGTGGGGTTTACTGCTTCTGAATTCTTGCCGATCCCTTTACCTATGGAATGTACATATTCAAGTCACACTGATTAATTAAATTCATTGAACAAAAGTCCTGTGAAATGCACAGTTAGAAATGACATCAGTAGCACACAAATACGAGACATGAGAATTTGTAACCTTTGTCATCAGATAATCTGATTTTCCAAAGCAGACAGTAAACTAAAAAACATTCCCCCGTTTGATTTTTAATATTCCACCAAATAAAATAAACAGCAGACTGAAATAATCCTGATGTTTTTGAAGGGTTTTGTACATTTTCCAAGATGAAAGCCAATCTTGATGGAGGATTATGGATCTGCTTTAACTAATGCATACTTAAAAAATTACAACTTGAAAATGGGCTTGCTTTGTATAGATAATCTGAGCCTTGATGCTTCTCCCATTGAACCCAAGCAGCGGGGAAGCACAGATAGCTTGTTAGCTGGAAATGGATTCTTATGCGTCTCGTGAAAAAATTAACACTGGGATTTGTACTCATTTCTCCCCTGGCAGTGATTTTCCACGTCCTTTTATTTAAAGTCCACAATGCCCGTGGAAAGCACTGTTTTAGATAAAGAGGAGGGTTTCTTTTAAATTGATATTTAGGCTTTTAAACGCTCTTGATTGATTTAATACTTGAAAAAGAGGCAGAAGGGAGATTCCAGTAGGCCTCACTTTCGAGCCTTTTTACTTGCACAAGACCAGCTTTTGTCTGCATTAAGATTGCAGGATATTAACTCCGCTTTTTAAAAACAGCATTTTTGGATGACAGAGAAAGGATATCCCAGAGCATCAGCACCCATGGTGAGAACATCACAAAAGATCCATTTAGATCTGTGTGTTCACATGGGAATCCCTATTGAGAATTTTCAGGTATACGCCCTCAATAATAGAAAACAAGTTTTGGAAGCTAGCAATGATAAGTACAGCTCTGTAATTGCATTCAATTGCCTAACTTGCCAGATTTATCTTTTGAAGTCTTCTAAATTAAGGACTGAGCCTGCAGTATAATTTGAAAACTACTTGACCAATTAGCACTGACAGTAAAACAACGCTCATTAATACTTAAACTAGTAAATGAGCAAAGCAAGAAGCTTTGAGAGATTAGGGCTTAGTCAACAGTAGAAGGAAAAAATAAAGATTAAGACCAATGTAAGCACAATCAAAGGAGCAGTTCAAGAAAAGCATTCCAAGGCACATACACAGGTATTGCAATAAGCAGTTAAACTGGTACACCACTGGGCCCCAGAGGGAACAGATACAGCTGAAATACTGCTGATAGCAAAACACAGCACATTAGCATCAACTAATACCTCTATAAGTAGTTTTGGCTGAGTATGTGAAACTGAGCTGTAATTTTTAATCAAACAAACTACAAGTTAAGCAACAGGATATCACAGGTTATGTTTTAACCACGTGTTCTAAAATCAAGACATTACAAAATACAGCTCATCAAAACAGCACCCATCAAGTAACAAGAAGAAATATGAAGTTAAACTCATTGTGCATTAAACACCACGTAACATATACGCATGCCAAGCAGAGATGGTCATCACACGTTCCAGTCTGCCAACAACATAGGTCTCCGTGGGTCACTGAATTCCTAGGAAGTAAAATCCTCAACCTGGAGCTCAACGATATACCACAGCAGTGGTTCAGGGGCATTTGGTTACACTTGTCCACATACCCTACCTATTTGTTTCCACTTTTTGAATGCACAGCTATTTACAGAAGCAGAAAGAGGGAATACAGCCCCTCCAGTGTCGTGATGGGATGTGCCAAAACGGTATCCAGCATTCACTGAACCCAGAGACAGGGCTTTACCATTGGCTCCCCAGGCTGTTTAACATCCTTGTTCCACAACCCTAAACAAGATTTTTTTGGGGTAGGGGATCTGTAAAACTTAGTAGGGCGTCCAGTGATAGGTGATTATGAGGTTTCTTTCCACATGATGTCTTTCTGGTCTGTGTTTGACAATCAAATTGGCACCTAGAGAGGAGAAAGCATTGCTAACTGGGACAAGCATGGTGCTTGGAATAGAAAAAGCAGTGTAGCGTCCTGAAAAATAAAAGCAAAGATATTCAGATAAGGAAAAGCTCAATATACAGACAGGTCAGCGAGCTGCAGAAATTAGCTTCAGAAAATTGAAAGCAGTTGGGTTAGGTTTTTAATCTACAATACGGGAAAAGAAGCATTAGTAATAAAGGCATATCACCAGCACTTCTCTTCCTCCCCTGCTATTTATCAGCCATACCAGGGGACTCTCATGAACATTAAACACTGAACTGCAATTTTACAATATTCCTACCGGGCTTAGAGATTTATGAGAACAACAGAACACACTTTTTTTTTTTTTTTTTTTTTTATATAGAAGTTTATGGCATGAAGGGAAAAACAATATAAACTGCCCCCAAAGAGTTACAAGAAAACTAGTTCTCCAAAAGTTAGCCCATCTGTTATAAACCATACTTATATAAAAAGAGCTGGCAGTCTAACAGCTAAATACTAATTGTGGGCAACATCCTAATTTATTAGTGTACCTTTCTAAATACATCTGCTGCAATAAATGGAAATTTGAACTTAGTTTTCCCCAACTGCCTGGCTATGAAAACTGTATAAATATGCATCAAATGGATTCTTCATCTTCTGTGCTTTTTTAGTCCAGGAAGTAATTCATGCTAAATTGGGAATATTTAAAGCTATAGAGATTAGCAAACCTGCTGTGTGGGTTATTATTGAGGGTTTATAGATGAGGCTACTAAGTTTGCAATCAGTGGTTTGTAGGAGAAATCTGAGCTCAGACAAGAGGAGATGCCATGGCTTGTTTCATCTCTTGCTGCTTCTCCTTTGTGTTGGCTGCACTGGGAAAGGCTGCTAGGGGAGGAAAAGCAAAGCAAAACACATAGCCGAGACAGGCAGTTAATTGCAAATTTGCTTAAAGTAGCTGAAGGCTGATATGTTTAGCACATTATATTTAATAGGCCTATTTTTCCAGCTCAAAGTGACAGGGTTTTGAAACAATTCTATATCACATCCTTCTCCCTATGCTACAAGTCTGCTGGCTGCAGAAGAGGCAGAGGATGACAAAATAGGAAACTTGGTGCCAAGTTCATCAAGTTCTCTCCATTATGAGCAAACAGGGTAGACTTTCTCCTAGGATCTGGGACTCTGCTGGTAACAATGTAATAGTTACATGTAGCTAAAAGTCGTATTTTTCCTCTTCCATTTTGCCTGTGGCAAAAGAACTAAAACCATATTTTTGTTACAAATGACTGCTTTCCTCATCTTATGATGCGTCTTGAAGGCTAGCACCCTCCAACTAAGGTTTTCAAAAAGGCTGTGGGTGTTTGGTGCCAACTGCCATTGACTTTCATCTTCTCTGAAAAAAATAATAATGCTCCAGCTGTGCAGCATCCACTGCATGGAGTTTTCATTTAACTTTGAGTCGTTGGACACACAGCAATCATTGTCAACATGGACTGCCACATTACTTTTTTTTTTTTTTCCACTTATGTAAAAACATTTGGTTGAAACTTCTGAGGGTTAACAATTTTTGGCAAACCGACATTTTCAAGGGGAAAATTAATTAGTTTGTAGGTCATTTAGGAAATACTGCCTGAAAATGAAGAATGAGAGATAAAATGTTTTCTAAAGACAGCATACCTTCTTCTGTGAAATGAATCCAAGATAAATCCACAAAAATTAAACTTATTTATTTTTCAGTACAATGCAAATATCCCTGTGCTCAGGTTCTTCACAATTGCCCTCGGTATTTTATCTAACACAGATAACGACCTTAGGGTGTACAGCAGCGTTTCAAATCTGAATAATTCTGAATACATTTGATATATTTCTTAGGAAATTGGTCTTTCAGTTCGTGGACTTCGCATTAGCTGCCAATGGCAGTACTGTTCAGTCATGCAACAAGGATGCTATAAATGAAAGCTTTTCTATAGCCTAATTCTGTCTCACTAATTCCAATGGGACTTGGCTTAATCCCAGAGACTAATATTAAAGTGTGCTTCCCCTTGGTTAAATACCTATAGGGAAATAGCATCTTCTGCAGCACAGAGGTTTCTGCCTCTGCTGCCGGACATATGCAAGCTGCAGGCATTGCTCCCTGGGGAACAAAGGAAGAGAGATGGGAAATTATTTTCTTTCCCTATCATAACCACTGATAGACTTCTTGGTAAAGTGCTGCTAACTCAAGGGAACATGCAATTCCTGACACAAAAAGTGAATCAGGATGATTCATTCACAGAATAAGATGCTGGAGTCGTAGATGGAGAGCAGGATGTACTCTTTTATCTGCACAGGGAACTAGAGTTATTTAATTGGGATGAAGCTTGTCTCTCAAATTTCAGACTTTGCCAACAGGGATATCTGTAAATAAATGAAAGCAATAGAAGTGTAGTATTTCCAGTATATCAATAATAAAACGTGAATGACTCCATTGCTTCTACCTCAACCCTTCTGCCTTCCTGGCAGAATGCACTGTGCCATTCTGCAACACCCCAGCACAGGTTGCACTGCAGCAGCAGAAGCTACTCAGTCTTAAAATGAATAATGAGACATTTATCTTCACAAGACAGCAGAGTCTGTTTCTGTAATACCGCTGAGGACAGATTATTTAGATCTTCAGCTTTCTGTTCACAACTAAATGCTAAGCGCTGATTCTCGTACAGCTTAAGGGGTTGATGGTGGGGACACAAGCACAGCACTGTACAGCAAAATGGATCAGATAAGCTCTGCTTTTCTGAATAGCTGCATGGCTACATTAAAAAGTTCATTGACTGTTCTCCTTGAAAGGAAAATATTTTTTTTTCCCTCTAATTACAAAGGAAATGTCAATTCTCAAATATTCCCAATAGATTTTTCCATTATTGCTAAAACTTGTCCACATAAAAACATACTGCCCAGTAACTTACTCCCTTGAGCCACTGTCAGCCCTTCTTCTGTCACCGGCTTCCCACAGCCCTTGGCTGTGCAGGCCTTGACGTAGAACTTGTACTTGGTGCTGGGGCTGAGGTCCATAAGCCTCCAGCTCAGCGTGGTGTGGTTGGCCACGCTGATGTCCATCAGAGGCCCAATCTCATGCGTTTCGTTTACTGAAAGAGAACGAAAAGCAGAGTCAGTTTGCAAAGGTAGCCTCGTTATTAGCAGAGAGCAGTGAAAAGCGAATCATTTTTATTTTGTAGTCAGAATCTTAGAATCGCAGAATCATAGAATGGCCTGGGTTGAAAAGGACTACAATAATCTTCTCGTTTCAACCCCCCTTCTACATGCAGGGTCACCAACCACCAGAGCAGGCTGCCTAGAGCCACATCCAGCCTGGCCTTGAATGCCTCCAAGGATGGGGCATCCCCAGCCTCCTTGGGCAAAGGCAGCATTTGGTCTAATTCTGTTCCACCCTCAAAGAACTCTCAAACCTGATGGTACATTGGGCAGCCAACGCCACTCCCTGCCTGAGGTTATCTGCTCAAGGTCTGCATCCCCATTACTCAGTGTTTCACAGGCATGTTTTGCATTGAATGAGTTTCACTTCAGTAAAAGGCACCTAAAATTTAATGACCTTCTTAACCGTCACATGAGGTATAATTTGTAATTACGAAATAACTGAATTAGCCTGTATGATATGGAACAGAGCATGGCAGCAATAAGAGCTTACACTACCAGAAACCTGCACGGAAAAGTTTTTTGCTCTGGAAAATGACTTTGTCCTGCCCTCTAGCTGGCTGTATGCAGATTGCAGCTCAAAACACACTGCTCTGCTGTTTGGCTGTTACTCAGAAACACAGCCTCTCTCATCAGTCTCTATCTTAAAGGACTCTGCCCATACAAAACTATAAAAAAAACAAGCAAACAAAAAACACCTAACAGCGCACGAGTTTAAAAATCGAAGAAAAACAAGCACATACTTATCTGGTATTGCAAAATGTAGCCAGTAATGTGACCATTGGCTCTCTTGGGAAGTCCCCACGATAGGGTGACAGAGTCCTTGTCAAAATTCATGATCTTCAGAAAACGGGGCTGTTCAGGGACTGAAGAAACAGGGATTAGCTTATACAGAACACTGCCTCTGCATGTATTTCTTTACTGAGCACAAAGATTAGCTCAATACCTACAGCTCCCCACCTGCAGCTCTATGAATACTGGAGATTTTACAACCACTTTATGAAATCCAATTGCCTGTTAAGTGAACAATTTCACTTTATTCCTCTCCATCCCACTTTTTCTTACCTCCTTCCGGAGTTTCAAACACCACAGGAGCACTTTCTGGTCCATCACCCCTGGAGTTGTATGCCAGCACAGTCAAGCGGAATTCGCTGAAGGGCTCCAAACCAGGGATCATCCCGTAGTTTCTGTCTCCTACAAACGTCAGGAAGTGTTTCTCCGGATGATGCCTTTTTCCATCCAGCAAGCTTTTTGTTTTCCACCAGCTGACCTGCATTGAGATTAGCATTTCCATAACAATTTACCTTTGTTGGGGCTGAACACCATATTGATTTCTCTCATCGTCCCAGAAATGACAGATTGCGATCTATCATTGACAGAGGATTTATTTAATAGCTTGTTAAACTGCATGCAATTAAAGAGAAATTCGTAACCTTATAGCCTCTTAAATGTCCACGAACTCTGTCCCTTGGTATTCCAAACCAGAAGACTTTGACCAGCGTGCTGTTGACAATATCCACCGAGACGCCGGAAGGAGCAGCATCTGGAACTATAAAAATAGGAGTGCTGCATACTAAAGACACTTACAGGAGCTCAATTTCACACTGTTTATACGCTACAGGGTTTGGTTTTTCAGCTCAAGCTGTGCCAGCTCATGCAATCTTCCCGCAGGCAAGAAAAAAGCCATTCCACCTGCATCCAGTGGGTGATACGGGCCAATAAACATTATTTTGTGGTATCAGAGCTTTCTGCTGAGGGCTGGAATACAGGGGCACTGGGACATATGAATTTCTATTTATGATTTCCTGTTTTGAGTAATGCTTACAGCAGTGAGAAGAATAAAATAAATGATTAACACAGCACTCAAGAAGGCAATCACAACAGTTTTGCTTTGTGCCTTTTCTTTTACAATCAATTTCATTTTACAGCTAAACTCATTAAACAGTGGGATTTTAATCACTGCACATCACAGACAGCTATTACAGAGCAAGAAATTTTTTTTTTTTTTCTTTTAAAAAGTCTTGATCTACTGACGACTGAATAGCAAGGAAGATTTTCCAGTGATAGAAGCAGATGTAGAATTAGACCCACCTTAGACACACAGTGCAAACAAACACGCCATGGTGTCTCCTTATTCTCACTGTCTTGCACAGAGGGCAGAGGAATCTATCACCAGAGGTTCCCATTGCCCACACCTCTGACTTAGGCTCTGAAGCCTGTTGTTGGTGAAACACTCAGCAGGTGTTAAGTGTCAAACTGACTATGCTGACTGCTTGACATCACCTGCAATGAATTCTGGTACACCAAAATGGCTGCTGCAGGAGCTGCAGAAAGTGTAGAGGTGGCTGCAGCATCATGTCCTGACACAGCAGTGGGGAGTGCTGGCAGGTTACAGTCAGGTCATGGCTGGATGTTTCAGTAAGCAGCACAACACATGCTGGTCTCACTTGGTTAAGCCACTGTAGACCTTCCAAAGGCCAGTCAAGCTGTTAGTTTAATTCTTTTTGGGGAAAACAGCTGCAAGATTTCAGATTGCGCATGGGATGAGAACTGTCTGACTTTAATAAGATTAATTGGCAGATCTGAAATGCAGAGTGCTCGCAAACACCACTGACCCTCCTTTGCCAACTGTTCCCAGCCCCTGCTGCTAAGCGTTTGCAAACGTAATAAGCATTTGTGTTTGGGATCAGGGAAGCTTGGAGCCACACACTAGCTGGCCACAAGGCTGCTAACTCCCTCGACGATTTAAATCCTTAAATCCTACAAAAAATATATTCTTTTTTAGGTGGTGGTGGTAGTGCTTAACTACGTTGATTTCTTAAGCAAGGCTGGCATTTCATTACTGCAGCTGGATACAGTTCCAGTCCTCCAAATCCCTTCTGTTGTCATGTAGTAAACACCAGGGGGGAAAGGCTGCTTTCAGAGATGTTGGGATGGCTGCAGCAGTGCCATTATCCACTGTCCCATAGGTCATATCAGTTGTCACAGCCTGGTGACATTGGCATTACCTGTGCCACCAGGGAACCATGGAAAGCCCCTGGGCAGAAACCCAGGCTGGAGAAGAGGAGCTGGCCATAGGGACACAGGGGACAAAGGAAAGAATTGGGATTACATGTGGAAATATGGCATCATTTAGAAATTAATTTACAATGCCCAAGAGCTGAGTGCTTGTACTTAGTTCTCAGAGTATAAAAGTTCCCATTACTCACTGTCCTCTCCCGAATATCCAGTGGTAATATTTGGTTCGGGCCCAGCTCCTAAATTATTTATTGCTTGGACTTTGATCTCGTAGGGCACGAAGGTGGGGGTGTTCCTCAGGGTCAGGGAGTGCTTCTTCACTGTCTCCTCATTCCATTCAGTCTCAACACCCCGCTGCCTCCAGCTGACTTTGTACTCCAGCCCCGGCCCATTTTGCTCCGTGGACTTCAGTGGCTGCGGGAAAAGGGGAGAAATTAAAAGAGAGCCACAAGTTGGGATTACGTATTTATTTATTTACTGCTTCATTTTGCTGGGAAGTAAAGCTGCATGTCTTTTCGCACAACTAAAACGCGTATTGTGGCATAAGGCTGTTTGTGCCTTTCAGTACAGCTAAAATGCATTTTATCTTGGAATTTTATGTAGCACAGCAATTCGGGTCATTAAAATTTAGATTTGTTCTAAATATTCACAAAATGCTTGAAACTGAGCCTGGACATTTAATGGGCCACTGCTGCGCTACTGGTTTTTACTGATCAAATGAAGAATTCATCACAGCATGGTTCTCGTCTAATTAACATGAATTTGTAAAATATTAGAAGACACATAGCAAAGGCTTGTCATGAGACATTCTCCAATTGAGCTCCTTTCTCTGAAAAGGTATCTCTTTCATTAATAATGTTAATTGGTCACGTGTGCTCCCCTAAAATGATGGGGATTGGGGAATACTACACGCTCCCACACAGCCTACTTTCAGTAATATTTAAATTATACATTACACATATCAAATACATAACATCTGCTGTTTAGCCAAGCCACACATAGAGCCCAGATCAGCACACGTTGGTCGGAGAAGCTTTCTAGCAGGCAGTGCTGGGTAAAGCACCTCCTCAGCCAAGATCCCAGGGCACGGGACTTGCAAGAGAAACTGGAGAAATGAAATTTTCTACTCAAAAATAACTTCTCATTTGGACTTAAAATTCAGCGCTGCTTGACTCTTATTTTGATCTCTCTTAATGCCGCAAATCCTTGGCTGAAAAGCTAGTCACTAATGCTCATCTGGTCTCCTAATCCAAAGTAGGCAGATTAACATCATTTTGCAGCTTTTGTCTGCCAGAAATAGGTTTGGTTTGGTGGTTTTTGTGTTTTTTTTTTTTTTTTTTTTTTTTTTTTTTTTTTTTTTTTAGCATATTCAGTGCCTAGCATTTCTTCTGAAAAGCACGCAGGACACACACAAATAAATGAATATCCTGCTTAGGACATTCAAATGATTCAACAAGATTTAACAAAGCCTGTCCATCCCATTCTCTCTCTTTAGTCTCAATTTTCACTTTTACTTTTGCCCTGTCTGAGCTGGGAATTATTGGCTGCCTGGCAGGGAGGATGGCCAAGCCTTCTGCCCGCTGCTGTTCTCAGCATTGCCCACCCAGTGCTGAGCACCACCTCTCTGCATTGCTTCCAAGAAGCAGACTCGTCTTCCCTGACCCTGGACTATGTCATCTAGCAAAAATCCACATCCAGATCCAAGTCAATAGATCTAGAGGGCCATCTCCTCTTTAGCATTATTATAGCCTGGTGGGGATTCACACTGGGGAAATGTTTATTGTTTCTTTGCTGTGAGCAGCAGATTGAGAAGTAAATCTCATGTAAATTGAGTTTAATTCAAGCTGCAAAAAATATGCTTCTTTCCACAATTGTTGAAAGTTGTGTTAAATGGAGAAATATATATCTCTCTAAGTGGTTGGCACAGAAGCAGTAAGCTTCAAAGCCAGAGAAATTGAAGACTGGAATCCATCCTCAACACTTCGACACAATTCGTTTGACACGTGCTTAGGAGCTATATCTGCACTCCTTTAACTTGGTGGTGTAGAAATTCAAGCTCACGTTCTCTTGGCCAACTGACCAGAGTCATTTTCAAACCTCCAGGCTCAAAGAACAGAAGCTCTGTGCAACTGAGCCCCTGGCCCTGGCTGCTCCTCCTGCAGAGCAGGGCTGAGGCCTCATTTACTGCAAAAGTTGCCTTGCATGCAAGATGCAGGGGAGCATACTTTGGGCAACTCTCCATGCCCACACAGGGCATCTCTATTTCCTTACAGCCTGCAAAGTTTAGATGTAAAAATTTGCCTTTTGAAACAAAAATGAAAGTAGGAGAGGAAAGCCAGAAGACATTTAAGACAACTATAACTTTACCTTTCACTTCAGTATCATTAATGATCTCACCTATGGAATTAGTTAATGCTTCCTAAAGGACGGAGAGATCAAGACAAGGGATTCATTATCTCTTTTTTAATGTATTTATATTAAAACATCCTGATCAATTCCATGCTTGACTTGTTGCTTGAAAGGAGAACCTGTCCTTGATACTGTAGCACTGACAGACACATTTCATTACCTCCCATTTCATCACCATTTCGTTTGGTTCAGAAGCTTCAACTCGGATGTTTTCTGGGTTCTTGTCTGGAGCTGGAAACAGTTAACAAAGTTAGTTTGCATATCCCTATTTTTATTTGTAGTTATTATTTAAATGCAAAAAACCCTTTTCTTATTTCAGCATTTCTGAGAGTCAAAGACACCCTAAACAAAGTGTTTGTGAGATTAATTACTTGGATCAGCAAAGCTGCTGAGAATGAAACATGTTTTTAATGCAGTTTTGATTCCTAAGTGCCCTTGTTGTTTGGAGCCACCAGCTAACATGAAATCGTGACTTTTGGATTTCAAAGCACCAGATGTAGGGGGATTATCAGAATGACATTTTTCTCCCTACAGGGATAGGAAACAGAAGGTGTATCATTAGTGGGGTGCACACAGCTGAAAAGCTGGAGGACCTGGAATTGAAGTGAAAGGAGGGGAAAAGAAAAGAAAAGAAAGAAAAATGCTGGAAATGCAAATGCTGGGCTGAATAATTGGCCTCTAAAATGACTTTCAGGGACACAACATTTTCTGTTACAATGAAAAATACACTGTGAATGAACATTTCTGACAAGCCTAGTGCTGCTGAAAGGTTCCCCATAAATCTTGAAGATCCTCTCCAGCATCTGTTTGTCTGTGAATGGCTGCAAGGGGCCTTAAAGGTGCACAATCAGCAGAGCTCAGGAAAGCTTTCTGTTGTAGGTACCCTGGTAGCAAACACACTGATAACCACGGCAGTACAAATTCCTCAGTTGGGCATCCTCAGGCTGATGGAGGCAGCTGCAGGGTGAATCCTCTCTTAGGGCAAACTACTGCTTTAGCATGCAGGTTTGGCAAGAAAGCATTTGTGGTGTGCAGAGTGCTTTAGTTCATCATCTCCTACCACGCACACTGAGCAGAAAAAAACAGCACAAGGGGTCCTGGCTTCTTTACACCTCTCAGAAGCACAGGAGGGTAATGCTATTCCCAGCAAAGCTGGGAATACAAATGTTAACATTTAGAAAACTAGATGGCAGTGTTTACCAGCAGGAGGTGTCACGTAGCGCAGCGATGGTTTACTGGGCTGGCTCCTTCCGACAGCATTCACAGATATGACACGGAACTGGTAATTGGTGTATGGGACCAAGGACAAGAGGGTGGTGGTAGTGTTCCCTGGGGCTCGGGCCAGCTCCTGCCACCTCCCTGGCTCCCACCGGCTCTCTTCAAACTCTATAATCGACTCTGGAGAAGAGGGGAAAGAAAACAGAGGAAAAAGGACAGCGCCAATATGAACTGCTTCTGAATAGCAGGATGGAAATGAACTTACAGCAAATTAGCTGTCACAGTAAAACCAATTATGTACAATATTGGGCATAGTTTATTCTGACAGCTGTGATGTGCCATTATGTTAAATGATGTACAGTGATGCTACTGAAATTCTTCATACCGTTAATGGGGCTGTTGTGGCTGGCCCCAGCTTTCCAAGACAGTCGAACACTTCGGTTTTGATGTTCTGAGAGCTGCAGGTCTTCCGGTGGGTCAGGAACATCTGAGACACAGAAAGACTGTCAGGAGCAAGCCAATTACTTCTGTTTATTTTGGTATTTTGGATAGGACTGGAACAGAAAGTTCTGGTGAAGACAGTGGTATAACATCTCCTGATTTCAAAGTGGCCATGATTAGAAAAGCAGGAATTGCTTTGAAAGATCCTGCTTAGTAACAGAAAAACACACTGAATTGTCTGGCCCTGCTTTCTTTCCTATAAATGCAACATCCCTCTTTAAGTGCATTTCCACCTGCTATCATTACTGCGCTAGGAGCAACATTTTTCTTTTCAAATCATCACTAAGATCTATTGAATCATTAATAGATATTGACACTGCTCAGCAGAAAGTTATGTCAGCATCACTTGGATTTACTCTCTGCAAACTAGAGTGCTAGAAGGGGCCTCGGTCGTGACAGCTATTGAACCTTGTCTGCTAGAGTGAAAGGATAACATTCATTATCCCAGCCATGGGGATCTATATTAAAAGGAAACAAGAAAATTCATTACCTGCCAGTTCAACTTGTGCTGTCCTGAGAATACGTTAAGAGTCAGCTGTGTATCTGGTGTGATAACTGCACTGCACCTCCTGGGGAGGAGAGTGGGACTATAGTGGGACTATCCAAGCCCTGAGCACAAGGCTGCCCCTTGTGATGGTGCTCTGCACACATCAAAGCTCACTTTTCATATACGTGGCTGACAATTTGCAGTCTGATTATATTGGATTCGTTTGGAAATTGGATTGCATAAGGTCTTATGCAAAAAACAATTTCTCACAGCAGGAGGCTGATGGTAACCCCTCATTCCTTCACAATCACACACACACACTGCAGTCCTGAACACAAAGCTGCATTCACCCCAGTCTCAGAGCTGATGCAGGAAATGCTTCCTGGTCATGAGGCTACTTTCAAATTTAAGAACTCTGCGGACCAAGGAAATGAGATTGCAGAGTTCTTGATGGGTGTTTGACCTCCTTCTGCCCCAGTGTTCCAACTACATTTTTGGCTGACAGTGTCACTTCTTACAGCAAAAACAACTGGCTCAATACACAGTGCTGTCCCTGTCATTGTGAAAGCAAGGAATAGGGAATGGACAGAATTTTTCAGATAACAATCCTGAGATTTCTTGTGCATCTCAAGGCACATCAAAAAGTGTTAAAGGTTATGATTTTTTGTTTTTTCTTTCTTTATATTTCTTTCTCACGTTTCCTTGGGGAAAAAAAAAAATCAGGAAAGCCTAATTTAATCTGCAAAGATTTTGCTGTTTTACACCTGGAGTATTTATGGGGCTAAAATTCTGTATGTTAATTTGAAGATAGTGATGGTTATCTTTGAGATATCCAACCTGCTGTCTGTTCATCAATAATAAAACAAATACCTAGAAGAATTCTAACTGGCTTTTTTTTTTTGCTCATATTCTTACCCATGCAGCTGTTCCACACTCAGTACTTAAGTCATCTCACTAGTCTTTCATTGCAAAAGAAGCCTGAATTTTTCATTTGGAAAATAGACATTGTTAATCCACCAAGACCTTTCTTATGTACAATAAACAAGGAAGAAAGAGCAAAAGACTGCTCTTCCTCTACTGCAAATTACCTTTTTAAAAGTGAATAAAGCATGCCATGAAATTTTCATAAGTAATTTAAGATACAGTTTACAAACATCTTGAATTATACGGTACTAAAGAACACAGTAACATAAATAACATGCATAGCATCTTCTTAATTTACTATTTACTGAAAAATATCATTCATTTAAAGTGTGGAAAAAAATCTTCAATGTCAGATGGCGATAGCTCTGTTGCAAGCACTGCCAAAAATGAATAAGAATGTAAAATTAAAAACACTTCTTGAAATTCTAATGACAAAAGTTCCCTGCAAAACAACATTCTAGCAGTTGACTCATGCCCTCAAGGTAAGTGTTAGAAGCTGATGGTGCAAAGTACTGTGCATCTACACAAGTTCATCCCCTTAATTCTGAGTGGTTCTTCAGGCCAGCAGGCAGCTGGTAAGGATGCTCAACAAGGCCAAACTGGAGGCTGCCTGGGTTGAGATCCTCCTCTGCTATGGATTTGCTGTTTCCCACTGGCCAATTATTTATGCTCACAGAGATAATTAGTCCTTTTAGATGCATAACTGCTTTTCAAGAGAGTTGGACATCTAAGCATCGTCCTTATGTGTTCCTTCCTCAAAACACAGTCCAAGTGATAATCAGCACAGAAGTCTCCAGTAAAGTGCTGAGAAGAACTGACCAACGACTTCAAAGCAGAAGCAGTGCCATATTTAATATGCTATCACACTTCCAGCCTGGACAAGCTCCTACAGCGCTGGGTGACTCCTGAACTAAGAACAACAGCTACATAATCTTTGAGGTGATCAACTAAACAGAAAACAGATGCTTGCTTCAGCATTCCCACTCCTGAAAATATAAAGATGGCACATTCTTAACTGAGCTTAACAAGTGAGAGGCATGTTCCATCTGGGTCACTGAGGTAATTGAAATGGCTAAGAGAAGCAAATAAACAGAAGTATTGCATCAAGCTGTAGGCATACTAGGAAAATATCTGCTTACCAAGAACAATCAACCGCGTTTTGGCGGTGACACTGTCAAGAGAAGTGCTAGCCACACATGTGTAAATGCCTTGATCCTCCAGCATCACATTTGATATGAACAGCGTGTCCATGTCCATAATTATCCTACAGGGAAAAGAAGGGCAATGCAAATAGAGAAAGTAAAATCTGTAAGACAAACACATAACAGGCTGACGCTGTTCGCTGAAAAACTGCTCAGGAAAAGCTTAGTAAAGGAACATTTTGAATAACCTAATTGCACATTAGGTCTATTTATTTTAATGCAATTGTAGTTGTATTATCTACTGCGGCATAGACTATTATTTGCATTTTGTAACAATTTAGACTCCATGGCCTGAAGTTGGCATGTCTTTCTTGTTCTGAAAAGAAACACATTGATATGCATCAGAGGAGCATTTGGAACGTAGGGTTTTGACACATCACTAACAAGGGAAATCAATGAATTTAATGTATAAACTTTTAGTAGGGCCGAGTAAAACTGAATGTTCCCAGTCCACTGGTGTTATGCCCTGTGCACCAGGACAGCTGGGTTCTGTTGGGTTGAAAACTGATTAGGCATTTCCATGGCTCTACCACCATCCCAGGCCTTGGCAGGACCCTCCTCCACCTCTCCTGTACTGCAGTGTTTGGGAAATCATCCCTCTGCTATGTCTAATTAATAAAGATATCTGAGAGCCCAACGTGGGGCCCTTCATACAGACTAAAGGCTGAGCTCCATCCCATTACAGTCAACGGAAACAAAAAAGTAGACAAATTCAGCCTGCACTTGCACTCCCCTACTCATGTAGGAAAAGCTCATTGATTTGACTGTATACGATCCCAGAAACATGTTTTCTATTTACTTTAACATTACAAAGACTTGTTTTGGCCAGCTGTAAAACACAGGAAAATACCAGTTCAACTGAAGTGGAGAGACAGAGCTCCAATTGACCCCAAAAAGGTTAGAGTTTTATTTTTGGGTCAAACCAACATTTACGTGGCACTGTGCCATGATAGTGAGACAGGGTAAATAAAATAATTTGCCAGTCACGGCTACAGATGCATATATATTTACATGTATATAAAAATGCAGATCTATTCATATGTCAAGTGAAGAATTCTCACAGACAGAAATTTGCATTTCAAGCTATTAAGTTTCATGTTTATTAATACTATTGCTCCGGCACCATACAGCATTATTTCAGCTGAGCTCAAGAAAATTCTTGTTCTTCCCTGCTTACCTGCTGTCTTGAATGCTGCTGACTGACAGCTCATATCCATCTTTCCTCCAGGATAATTTGAAGCTGTTTTTCAAGTGTGAATCATACTCAGACTGACATTTCAATAAAATTGAATGTGATTTCAACACTTGGGGGTTCTTCGGAGTAATGACAATTTTTGTAGCATCTGGTTGATCACAAAAAACACTTCGATTAGGAGAGAGAGATTATTACATCAAATTTTCACCAAGCACTTCATATATAGGAATCAACTTCAGGAGCAACGATCATGTCTTTATCTATCTATCTATATACAAACACTTCAAGTGAAGGAGGCTGGTTTTGAAATGGAGATGTGACAGGATATAATTTTCTATCTTGGAAAATTCTTTTTTAGCTCAGTCCAAACCACTGTGTTCTAGAAAAAAACAAACATACACACTCAAAAAAAAAAAACAAAAACCAAAACCAAAAAAACACAGATAAAAATTTTAGTTAGAAGATTGTCATGAAATGGATGATTAAAAAAAAGCTGGAATATGATTTTTATGTCCAATTGCCATTGAAATTGCAATAGCTTTGGCAGTGAACCAAGAAAAATTACAAGCTTATTAAAGTCAAGTGAGAAAAAATACTGCAATCAAGTTTGTTCTTTTAATTGCCTCTAATCTGAATGCAGAAACAGATGAGTAAGTAGGAAGAAAGCACTTCTCTTTACAGTGAAATATTGCTTTGTGAGAATTTCATTGTACAATTTCATGTTTATTATAACTGTAAAACTTACAAAGCAAAGAGACTGGCCTGAAGTAGAACACAAAAAGACTTTCTTTTTTCTTGAGTTAGTTACAGCAAATCTGAATCTCAGAGTGCATTTGAGGACTTTGCTAACTGAGCGTTTAAGTTCTTTTTATTGGCAAGGCCGAATTCCTAAATAACTTTGTATACAACTCACCATCCTGAATCTGTGTCCTCAACAGAAACTATGCACCCTCATCACCACCCTTAGGGAACATGCCCAACCAACCAACGAAATACTTTAAAACAGAATTGGAGCAGCACATACGTATCTGAACCTTACAAAGCCCCCTCATCATCCTGCTGTAATGCGCATGGTGTTGACTGTAGACATTCATTAAGTTTGGAAGATAAATGAGGTATTACCTCTTATATCCAGATTTGCTGTGATTGCTCTTTTTCCAACAGAATTTGCAGCCCAGCAGGCGTACGATCCCGAATCTTCCTTCTTTGTTTCTTTGATTTCTAGGGTGCCATTTTTATTTAATTCATAGCGTAACGTTGAGAGTGGCTCTATGCTATCATCCTTAGTCCTAAAGAGAATAATAACAGATATGGCTCATTTCAGTGATTGTAGAAACCATTGTTTCATGGTTAGGGGACAGATGAGTTTAGAGTCAGCATGTCAGTCTACTCACACGCTGGCAAATCATAAAGGGACATAAGCTTCCTGCAAACGTACAACGCACTGACAGTCCCTAGCAAGACCTTTAAATTACTCTAACTGAGCCTTTAATCCATAACTGTCATATGTAATTTTATTGCAACTGTCAACTGCTATGTCAATCCAGTGATTTCCAACCGTATGGAACCACTTTCAGGTAGATGTACTCTTTAAATTATTGCCTTTCCACCTCAGCAACGTGTCCAAACTTCAAAAGGTACCAACATTAAACTAAGGCTGATGAAGCTGTAGCAGGATTTGGCTACATACAGCTTGGTTCTGCTTAATAAATATCCCAGCACCTCTTACAGAAGTATCAAGGACTTTCATCAACCTTTCATTTATTTAAAAATTAATTAAAAATATATATGTATCAGGGATCTTGAAAGAGAGTACACTTAAACAAAGGACACAGATATTAAACACAATCTTGCTATAAATTGCTAATTTATCTCCTCAAAACCAACTCATTTTTCAGCGTTTGGGAAGCCTAGATAAACTTATTTCATGTGAAAAAGCCATTCTCAATAGCTTACCATCTAACATCTGCTGCAGGTGAGGCAAAAATTTCACAGTGCAGGAAGGCACTGTAACCAACAACTGCAGCATAGTTTTCACCATCTGAAGTCAGGATTAAGGGAGCAATATCTGCAGAACAGGATGCAAAACAAGCAACAGTGCAATTCAGAACTGGGCTATAAGTATGGTCCTTGTATCATACCCTTTTCCCACCATAGAGAGGTCAACTGAGCTCACATAAGCCTCAGTGATAACAGTGGTTGACTGCTGGATGCTTTAGATCACTAAATCTTGACCTCAGGATAGAGAACATGCTCAGTTCTGCTTCCTTGTGAGACCTATCTTATCAAAGCAGTTCCCATCAAAATGTTTCCTCAAACAACAGGCTAAGCATCACAACTGAAATTAACGATTGACAATCCATAATACCTTTAATGATTCGAAGACACAACTGTGGCCACAATCCAGTCCCCAGTGATCTTAATACATCTGAATTCTAAAGGTTTTAAGCCCAAAACCACCACCATGTTGTTAAAAATATCAACACTCAATCTAAATATTGCTCATCATAAGGCTCGCTGCATGAGTTTGGACAACATATTTCTTAAAATCTGGGGTGAATGCAGCAGAACAGTGACGTGATTACAAACCCAAAGCTATTCCAAAGATCTAAGAATTATCAAAATGGGACACGTCAGTTACATCTTTCCTATAAACACAAAAGAGGTGGGAGACTACTCACTGAGGACATTCACGTTGGCACTAGCAAGGAGGGTACCATGCTTATTACTGGCCTCACAATGGTACACAGCAGTGTCCTGAAGCTGAAGGTTGGTAAGGCTGAGCTCCCCATCAGAGATTCGCCCTCTGAAGGTCCTACCTGCAAAGACCCAGACCATATCAGAAGATGATGCTAATTAAGAAATATGAAAAAAGACCAGAAGTCAATGAGCATGAGTGCTATCCCACGTTCCCAACAGATGAGGGCAGCACTGGCTGAGGGACTCATGGATAGTGCACCTACTTTATTCGAGACCATAATAAACCTGAAGTTATGTTTAAATAGACATCAAACAAGATGTCATTTGGTGCACTGGAGTTTGTGCATTCCCTGGGCATGATACATGTGCATCTCACCCATTCCTAACAGGATGATGTTGGACCTTTACTTACTATCAATGGGCATCCCGTTAAGTTTCCACTGAATGGTTGGCTCTGGGTTGCCGATGGCCTCACAAAGCAGCAAAAGATTCTCTCCTAAGCTGTAAACACCACCTCTGGGCTCCTTAATCCACCGAGGAGGCTCTGCAAGAGAGACATGGCATGTAGCAGGTGTCACAGCCAGAACAGTGTAACTCTGCTATTACCGTGGTTCTCCAGGAGATGGCAAATGCTGTCAGCAGTTTCCACAGCTTCTGGCAGCCTATTGTGCAGCTGCAGTGTATTTCTTGCAAATTGACATTAGAAAAGGTAAAAATTAGCATTAACATACATCAGCTTCTGTCCTTCGGCTCTGTAAAATGCAAACGTTGGGGAAAGTGTGAAAGCAATGGGCAATGTCTACCCAAGTGGAAAACAAACACCAAGGAGATGGGAAGTGAGAGGCTGGGAGGGAGGTAAACTTAATTGTGTCAGCATTTTCACAAAGACCCTCAGACAGGAGACTGCTGCCTCTGAAATGACATGAGACTGTTTCAGCAAGTCAAAACACAATGCAAACAGCCATTCAGCTGAGAGACTTGCTGGATGTGAGCAAGTGGCTTGCATCAGCTCGCCCAGGAGGTCAGAGCACGGTGATGCAGGAACAGTGTTGATCACCTCCATCTGCTCATTTCTGTGTGCTGGGGAGATGCACTGTGCTATTCATTCAACAGCCTAGTTTTTCATCGTGTATTCAGCTCAGATGCTCATACACAGCATGTTAAAGCATGCTGAGGCATGGAATGGGAGTGCCACCATCCTAAGGAGCAAGTTGCCCACAGGGTGGTGGTAGAGGAGCAGCAGTTGGTTGCTGTGTTCCCTATGCCCTCTCTCCCTAGCACTACCAGTTGAACCAGGACAGCTCTGTCTTCTGCAGAACAACCTCTGAACATCAGATATCCAGATCTCATTAGAAAAAGGAACAACCATAAGGGAGGGAACTGAGAGAAAAAAATAAACGCATTAATCTGATGAAAGCTTTCCGCTATCCACAAACCAAACACGTTGAGCCTGCCTGCACTGCAGAGGATGGCCTTGATCCAAAATACAGCCTCACATTTGTCATTACCTCTCCCTGAGAAGCAAAGTTCCAAGTTTTAATTCCAGACCTGACGCTACCTCTCTTCTGCTGGCCCTGAGCTGATCGTTGGACTCCTCCATCCCTCCTTCCCTATTAGAAAAAGATGAGCTAATGTGTGGGAAGCATGAGGATTCATTAGTTAATTCTCATAAAATGCTTTGAAGATTAACAGTGCTGCTGTCTGGTAATACATCTCCAGATGCTATCACTGTGATATACTAAAACAGTGTCATTGCTCATATTCACACAGAGATATTAAAAAAATACCCCTGATCTGTGCTAAACAGGACACAAGCCCTGCCATTTCCACTTCAGAGCACCCATGAAGAAGTGCTGTTCAGCAACAGCTGAAAAACAAAGTAAAATTTAAGACACCAAAGTTTATATAAAACTATAACATCTTTACGTTTCATTCACAGTCCAGATTTCTTCTTTCTGTAGTGCTGGTTGCCCTCCTGCAGCGCAGCACGTGCAACCATACTTGTTATGCTTCCTTATGTTTGACTCCAGGAAAAAAAAAATGCATGCAGCAGAACGTTTTGGTTTTGCCAATCTCTTTCTTTTTCTCTCTCCTACTCTTAACACTTTCATCAGAAAAAAAATAGGTCAAAGGCATGGAGGTGAAAAGGAGGTAACACTCCTGATGATTTTTTCCCTTTCCTCTGTCCATCACAGACAGAATACTTGAGACAGGATGCTTCATTGCTTTTGGAGGAAGTCAGACACCAGACACAGCCTACACACAAAGCACACTTCCTAATTTCATCGTCCATTCACTTTTGAAAGTCAGCTGCAGATATATTCCACTGCTGCTTTCCTTTCTCAGCACGACAATTGCTGTGGTTGCCCGAAGGAAGTGATGCAACTGTGAAGTTTCAGTCAATGAGATTTTGTCAAGTATGAAATGCAATTTCACAGAAAGGTTGAAGAACTTTTCTTCTTTGTGGCTGATATGTTATACCACTTATAAGTAGATAAAAGGTAATAACAACAAAATATACACTTACACTTTAACAACTGCAACGACCAGTGGTTGGACAATCAAATTGTTAATCTGCACAAGTAAAATAGTATGGCAAATGTTTCACTGCATAATATATCCTTGCAGGTAAGAGTTATAAATGTGGTTTATCTAATCAACAGATTTATACTTTTTATATGAATATAATGATAGGTCTGAAAACAGAAAGGATCTAAAATGGTAATCAAGCCCATTCTTGTGCAATAAAACAAGATTCTCTGCACCTACAACACATGGGGTGGTTTTTTTTTCTTTCTTTTTCTGCAAGAGCTGTGTTTCTGAGCAGAGTTCAGATTGTGATCCAGTATATCTTCCAGACCAGCCTAAGCAGACATCTTCCATCCTGTGTTTATGAAGCCAATTAGTGCTGCCTGATGAGAACTACTTTGCACTTGTGCTTAGTGAAGCCCATCCTTTTTATTCCTGACCACTTTCCCAATTTGTCAAGATCACTTCAAATTCTCCTTGCATCTACCCAAGCTCTGGCAATCCATCCCACTTTAGGGTTATCACCTTCAGATTCAGATGCAGTTATCACCTTGGGGTCTGCATCCCAGCTGAAACAGCTTCCCCATGAAACAAGGAGAACCACAGCTTGAGTCTCGTTAAACCAACCAGCCATCTATCTGCCTAACACAAGGTTCACCTATTGTATTTTTCTCTAGCTCAGTAATGAAAGAATTACAAGATATAGCTGCAAAGGCCCTTAGCTATTCTCTCATTACGATAATTAATCATTACATTGTAATGATTATCTCTATTAAAGACAGCCTTGAAGCCTCAGTCAAGATCAAGGTACCATTAGATCAGGCACTGTGATAGTGGCAAGAGTTTGAGGTTATATAGTCCCCCAAGCCTAACATATAAGCAATAACTGAATAAACAAACATTCCCAGTTAAAACAATTTGAGAGCTTGGTTCCATTTTTGTAATAGTTTGTTCTTTAACAACAACAGGCTTCCAATGTTCTAGGCTACATCTTTCCTTGCAGAGAGGTTAAAATATTCAAGTAGTCAACAAATTTGCTGGCTGAACATTTTCATATGAGTGGTAATAGTTGCCTGAATCTTTGCCCTTGGAGTACTGTAGGATTAGTAAGTGGGCTACACGAAAATATCATCACTTCAAACTGTTATTTAGAAATCTGATGTGTTGGCTTGAGAGCCTAAAATATCAGACAGAAGAGCGGAAGAAGTGACACAGTGCAGGGATGATAGTGAAGTCTTGATTTATACACCAGCATTAGATTGAGCATAGTTGGCAGTTAATAACTGAGATAATTTTTCTTCCATATTTAATTTTCTTTTCCTTGCATACATCCCTTGAGAACTGCCTGTCGGGCATGAGGATGCCCTACGTCAGCAAAACCTCCCTGAAACCAGGGATTTGCCCTTGAGTGTGCACACGCGAGTTGCAGCAAGAATGATGAACATGCCCATCTCTGATGAACATTAATGACATTTTCTGTTTTGAAATTACAGGAAAAAATGCTATTTGTGCTGATGATACTCTGCATGTGAGGTCCTAATAGACAGAATTTCTGTTAGTGACACCAGCTGATGTTAGTTATACAAATGAAAAATGAACTCAACAGGAATTGCAAAAGCATTCTTTACATTGCAATGGTTAGAGTGTATTTCTTTCTTTCTTAAAATACTTGTTTGCTAATGAGTAGGAACAGCAATTTGCCTAGAAGATTTCCTTCCTCTAGAGATGGGGAGAAGGAGGGTCAATAATCTGGACTGCTTAATAAATGTTATTTCCCTTCCACTTTAGTTTTTGCAGCTCCTGCAATTTCTTTGAAGGATTCAATTTTTACAGGCAAGAAAATCATAGCCAGATTGTTAAAATATTCAGCTAGAGCAGCGATGCTCCAAACCATCTGTAATGATTTCTAGGAGTCAGCACTTCCCCTCCATCACAGCTGAACACTTGCCATGCTTTGGTATCCTCCTCTGCCTCACTTCCAGGAAGGGAGAGAAGACTATGACACAAAAGGCTGTGCCAAGTGAAAGGGGAGAATTTATCATGTAAGGAGAGAATTCAATTTTGTAAAGGAAGAGAGGAGTGGTACCATATGCATTTAACTTTGGTGTAAACTAAAAAAAGAAAATTGAGCTAAATGATCTGGCCCAGTATAGACATTTTTACATTTTTAAGATCAAGTAGAATAATTACGTTCTCTAGTCTGACTTTCAGATTAATACAAGACATTTTATCAATACCTCTGCTTGACTAACTTGCATCTCAATGTATTGGATCTATAATTTATGCATATATTTGTGCTTTTGCTTACTCCTTTGTAAAGCCTTCATGGTTTAGGAAAAAATCACACATTAATTCTATTCAAAAACAAATGCTCCTTTCTGCAAGTTTCCCAGAACTAGAGAGCAGGTCCTGCTAGCAAAAGTTGATATCACAGTTAAGTTTATGGTTTATTAAAAAGTGATATTAGCAAAATCTACTTCCCATTGATCATCTATCAGTGTTCAAAATGAAAAGCTCAGTAAAATGTACTCCGCACCTTCTACATGAACATGGAATTCATGTTTTGCTCTGCCCACAGGGTTGCTTGCCGTGCAGTGGTAGGTTCCTTCATCAGCTGCAGACACGTTTTCTATCTTCAGCACCTTCCCAAATTTATCTGTTACAGGTTTGTCCTTGGGCAAGTTATCAGTAACTTTGACCCAGCTTAGATGAGGAGTTGGGCTAGTAGTAAAGAAGAAAAAAATGTTGAGTTGGATACCAAGGCTGTAATGATTCGTGTTAGCATAGCTGCTGGAGTTCATGCATATGAGTTGCAAGAAGTTTTCAGTTGTTTGAGCTCTTTCAAAACCCCAAGCAATAGTACTGGCTGTACTATAGACAGACTACTTCTAGTCAACACTGTCCCTTGATTTGAAGGACCCCTATGAATAAGTGCTTCATAGCCAAGCCCAGGCCATGGCACAAGGCTGCATTCCTTGTAAACATTGGCATGAACTGTGTCAGAAGGAATGGAGCTCATCTTGTCTGACTCCAAAAGGGCATTCTAGGACAAACAAGGAGGTAAAGACTTCACTGGAGTGACTTCATTCAGCCTTGCTGGATTAGGAAGACGTCCAGACATTGGAGATGGCTGAAAACGTTTCTTATGCTTTCAGAAAGCAAGTGGCAATGACACAGAAATTCAGGACAGACTGCTGTATGCACAGTCCCAGCTGGGATTCGTGACCCCGACACCATACACTTTGTCATATCTGCTTACACTTGTGTCCATCTGTCATGGTGGCAAAATGCCCAGGCACAAGCTACTCAAAGGACCAGGTACCAAAAAAAACCTATGGCTTTCCAAGAGCAGTGAGCATAACGGTACAAATGTTCTGTTTCCTGCAAGGGTTCTTTTCTTGCTTGTCTACCAAAGTCTGGCACCATGTTGCCTCAGTGCTGCACTGAGGGAATGCCCTCCTGACATTGATGTTACTCAGATTATAAGATTTCAGAAATGACAGATTGGAAATGTACTTATTTCCTTATTTTGCAATTGGTTGCCCCTGATCTTAGTTACTTGAAATCTGCCTCAATCTATCCACTTCCCTGATTTGTGGGCATTTGGTTGGACGGACTGGCAGAGATACAGATAAAGCTAATCATTTTTCTACTGAAAGTGAAAAATTCAACAAATATTTTTGCTTAAGTGCTGTGTTTTTGAAGTGGTGCCATGAAAAAAAATCTAATGACTGAAGAAATAAAGCTCTTCTTGAGCACAGACTTTGTCATCCTTTGAAACTGAATAGTAAAATTAAAAATGGCTTCTTGTTTCAAAAATAAAAAAAGCTCTTCCTAGAAATTATTGAATGAAACAAAAACATTTCTTTTTTTCAAATTTTTCCAAATAGTGCCTTTTTTTTTTTTTCTTCTCTTTTATACATGGTATTATTAGTTCCTGCACATGAAAATAGATATTTGTGTATTTCTGAGATGTTGCCTGTTCAGGACCTTGACAACAGTATAAACTCATAGCTATGGATTTGTGGGCCTGCGAATTAGTTTGATGTGCAATGAATTAGACAAGAAAGTGCTGCAAGAGGGAACTAAAACTCACTGCAGGTAGCTGGAGCAAATCCAACCGAGACAACTAATTCACCACCTCTCAAAAGATGGCAACCAACTGCAGAGGCATAATCTTGCCAACTCAAATGATGCTCAAAGAGCGACGCCTTTTCAAGTCCACATGGAAAAACAAAATGCCCCAAACACGTTTGTTCAGGCAGATAAATATCCTGATTTCAGAATTTTATAGGGGGGGGGATAATTGCACAGCCTTTAATATGAGTTATCAGCCTCCTAACCATAGCGTGCATCCACAGAATGCACAGCCCCACAAAAGACCATGAGAACACAATGGTTTAAGTCTCCATTTAATAAAAAGCCCTATCACAAACAAACCAGAAGGTTTGTTTCATTGTGGTTTTGTGATGACAGAGATCTTCTCTCTACCAGTTTATTCTCTGGTGGTAACTCTATTGGGGCAGACTACTGCATCTGCAAGCAGGCAGTAAAATCAGAAAGCTGGACTGAGGGTACAGTGGAGCTTATTTCTGCCCTGAGCTACGGCTACAGAAACCAGGTCCAGAGAGATACTCACAGCTTCATCTTGAGGACCACACTTAAATGAGCACTGTTCCATTTCTTTACTTACCTTATTTTGTCCTGTTAATTACAACACAAAATAAAATTGCTCTGATCTCATTTCCCAGCACATAACAGCAGCTTGAACTGCTCCCTGTATTATTACAGTGAGCATATCCTCACTGAGATATTCTGCTATGCTTAGTACAGCCAGAGCTCTGTGCTGCTTTACAAGGAGTACACTTGCTCTAGGAAAACACTGCATAAGTCTCAATTTAAAATTAAACAGATATATACATACATTTGTAGCAGAATAAGGTGATTAAATCTGTGTATCATTGCACATTACTCACAGCCCTTCAGCAATACACTCGAGTTGCAGGACACCTCCCTTGATAACAGTGACTGATGAGCTGCTGCCAGCAGATTCAGGAGGGATCAGCAGTTTGGGTTTTCTTTCTTTAATAAAATTTGCTAAAATAGAAAATATATATATAAGTTAGATTCAAAATCTTAGTATCTTTGCTTATCCTTCCAGTAATGTTACAAACATTAGTCTAGTCTGAAGGCTTCGGACATCAGTTTCTAAGTTTTCTTATTGCTTCATATGGTTTAAGATCAGTGCAGGAAGAATCCTGTTCTGCTTACAGCCAGAAAATGGTGACAGTGGTAACAGGAGGCAGTGGTACTACGGAACCTTCATTTCCTATGGCTTCAAGTCCTTGCTTTCTTAGCACTGGCCCCTTTCTATCATATATGTTGGCCAATTGTTGATACACTTGATCTTTCAATTATTGATCTTCTGGTGTGCAGCATCCTTCTTAGCATCCTTCTTCTGCACTGACTCTCCATCATTTTCTAAAACTCAGATGGAAACCCATCTTTCTGACTTGAATATCCCTCAGAAATGCTCTTGTTATAATTACGAAATCTATGGTAATGGAGATAGAATTAGTAAAGGAGTCTGTTTAAATAATAAAACAAGATTGGCCTGCATTTAATTTCAATAGACCATTTATTCCAGCCTGCTAAATGATGGTTTCATGATGAAACATGCATAGAGTCAAATGGCTGTCCAGTTATTGCTATAATAACAATTAGTACAGTAATGAATAAGTCCCCAAATGGTCCTAGTTCTTAAAAAATAGTCAGTTATGGATGATTTGGTGAAATACCGTATGGATCTTTCTGAATAATCTTTTATTTTTTTCATCCCCTTGCTATTTATCTTTTCAAACCTGTGTTACAAGTGTTCAGAGCTGCAGCAAAACACTTTGGTGCCTCTGGACATGCTCACATGTTTTCCATCTGCCCTCCTGCTGCCATAGGCAGGCATGCAGTCCTCCACCAAAGCACTGCACACAAGCCTTGCCTGTTCTATTCACACTGACAGCCTCCTTGGGACAAGTCCTGAGGATTTACCGGTGTTTTGAGCTATGCCACCTTGAAATACTCAAGGAGGATCCACTTTTCAAAAGCTCCAGTGCTCATTCAGCAAAATGTGGTGCTTCAGAAGTTTCAGATTTGGCATCTTGAAAAACAGAGGCTCTCAGAAGCAATTTAACCAAACAAATTGGCTTCAAAAGCTACACATGAAAATGGAGACACTCATTTTTAGTTAGGTTTTTTGTTGTTGTTGTTTGTTTGTTTTCTTAAAGAAACTAGCAGGTTGGAGAACAGAGGAATAGCCACCAGCTGCCTTCTGAACTATCCACATTGTCTGCGTAAATTTCAGAGCATTTTTGGGATATGACTCCACAAAGAAGTGAGCACAAAACAAGGGAAGAGGTGAATCTTCAGGATGAGAAGTGCTTTGTTGGAGTGCTTACCTGTGGTGAATATCAAACAGCACAACACACAGCCAAAGTGAACCATCTCACGTTCACCCTGTGTATAGCTACAGACGTGCACAATTAACACAGAGCAGCTAAAGCTCTGCAAATCCACACCTTAAGCTCACCCTGGAGTAATGCAGCCCCAGGGTGACCTGTTAGACATGGATTCAGAGTTTCAAACCACAGCAGCTTAATGCCAGTGTCTCCTCCACCACCAGAGGAAGACACAGTGCCATGCTCCGACTCCTGCTATGAACTGATAACACTGCCTGACTCCTTACATTACGTTCTGAGATGTGAATATTTCTTTCTTGAATAAGAAAACTACCTCTTTGTTAAAAACCCTTCAGATTTCTGTCAAAAAGTACAAGATGAGCAAATTGTACTCCACGGACTACTTAAATCCATCCCATTGCAATAAAAAGGCTTTTGTGATTTTTTTCTTTTCATCCTCCCAAGCAGCAGCTCACATTTCATTTCAGCTGGTAGATTCTCAGCATAAAGGCTAAATAACAGATGCATTCAACTCACCCTTAGTAACCGCAGCATTAGGTGAGCCTGAGTCATTAGCATGCTTAACTGAAATAAATAAAAGTGACAACCAAATACAAACGTGCATAGTTGATATAAAATGAAAAGAAACAACAAAATCAACCAAAACCAAACAATGTCCCCCCCAGTAAATTTCTGCCATATGGAAATAAAAAAGAAACAAAAGATGACATAAATCAACAGATGAACAATGAATTTCTGAAAATAAAGAAAATCATTCACATATATGTAATATTCTGCAAAATTATGGTGATATAGCCAACTTGGCATAGAGAAGAGCAGGCAACCTCCAGCTGAGGGTACAAAACCTCGTGAACGCCTACCTCACATCTACACTTGCACTCAGCCTCAGGTCTCCAACAGCATGCATGCACACACCAAAGCTTTTCTTTCAGAGACCCAGAATCAAACACTGCCCCATTTTCTCTAATCTGCATGTGCACGGCTGTGGGGCTGGACACATTATAAATGCTATGGAGGGCAACGTGGCATTTTGCTATTTATCTCTCAATTATTATCCCAAGATACAGATTAAGCAAGTATTAAGATACACAAACCCAGTATTAATCATTTATCTTTTTTTTTTTTTTTTTTTTAAATCCTAACAAGAAACTCTCAAAATCATATATTTAATATTAGGCTTTCATTCACAAAGAAAAATCTCCTTGGCTTTCTGGGCTACATAAGCCCAAAAGGTCAGAAGCATTAACGAAACAGAAGACTGATATTGAGGGCACAGGCAGCTTCAGCTCTTGCTGCAAACCTTAACTGAATTCATTACAGCCAAAAGAGATTCAAGCAAAACAGGATGGCTCTGCAGCTGCTGTAAGCTGCCTCATCTCCACCAGCTTCTGCAGGGCCTTACTCTTTTAACAGAGCTGACAGCATGCCTTGAAAAGCTTCCAGTGTTTTGCAAAACACTTTGACGCTCCCTGCACAACATTTCACAAGGAAAATGTTAATGCCCTGTGTGTCCCTGTGGCAGTCTGAAAAGGGACCATTTTCCTTCTGGCCTGCAACACATGGGCAGCATGTGCTGTCATTCTGGACCATTGCAGCAGTCACTGTTGCAGAGGTTGAAAACTGCTGAGCAGCAGCCCATTTCTCCTTAGAGAAGGGGGGAGGGACAGTTGTGTCTCCTTTTTCATGAAAGCAAAGGCACAGAGGCTTCCAGGGCCAAGCCACCAGCAGGGCTGAGCCTGCAGCCCAGTCCCTGTCCTCCCCAGCCCCACAGCTGCACCCAGACCAACCAACAGTGCAGTGATGTGGAAGCCTCAATGTCCTCGAGACCCAGGCAAGTCCCATCAGGGACCACTAGAGAAGCAGGTTTTCCTCCTGCTTCATCACCTTTCACTGAAGGGAGAGCAGGAGAAAGAGCAGGGTACGCTGGGGGCCCAACAGCTGCATTTGGGGGCTTTGGGGCTCACATCTGCTGATATGATGTGATCACACTGATGTCTTGGGAGTCAAAAGAGAAAAACAACAGTAAGCAAGAAGCAACGCATCCAGAAACTTACAACGGGAAACCTTCAGTGTCATTGGCATTTTCTGTACAATTGTCCTCAGTTTTGGAAATGCTGCGAAGCAACAATAATCACTTCGGCTGTCATTTTCTTCCACATTTGCAAAGTAGAGATCTCCCTTAAGGCTCATGGAGACCCTTTCATCTTGAGGAATGTGCTGCAAATCTAGCAAGAGAAAATAATTACGATATGGTAATGATACTGAGCTGCTTCACCAGTATGACTACCAATGCTCTGCTGTCATGTGTTTGCTTCCAGATACAGAACATAACTTTGATGTGAAAGAGGCAGAAGGCCCAGCACAACCCATGGGTTATTCACCAATGCTCAGCATACAGAACTGCATACACGGTTCCTTCTCAGAAAATGTCCAACACCTCTCCCCAATACAAAGGCCTGTAATGCTGAGATGGAGGTCACTATTTGCAGATGTGCCAATCTCCTGACCACTCTGCTCTTCTGTAATTACAGATTAGAGCAGGGCAGCATTAGTATGGACTGCTGAGACTATACTGTCTCATCCTTGATCCAGCCATATGCAGAACAGTGCTAAGTATGTATGTCAGGAGTGGAGAGGCTGCCTCACAAGATCAGAGGTTTAATCTGGCACCCTGTCTCTGCAAGAACTTGGTCAACATCAGAAACAAACCCTTCGTGTCACAGTGGTATTTTGCTTCTCAGTAGCCAGAAAAACCTACAGAATACAAATGCTGAAGAAACACTGAAGAATGCAACAATGAAAATCATGTCAAAACTAAGAAACAATTTTGCACACCTGACACTGAAGTTGTTTTTCTTAATATCAGCATAAACTAATGGTTGATTCATGAGTAGAAAACAGTAATGATAGACATAATATATTGGTACATTTTATTTTCTCTACTGTAAATGCAGCAATCTTCCTTACTGGTAGATGTACTTACTGATATTTAAGCTCTGCTATGTAACAGTTAATAACATGTGCTGTCAATGTACTCTACAATTTGCTTGTTCTGTGTAAAGACATCTCTATTTCCCATTTTTCAATTTTTTATTTATTTATCAATATCCAGATCTTTTCCCCAGACACCTGAAGAATTACCACTCCCATCAGTTAGAAAACTGTTATGAAACTGCTTTGGAAGACAAATGTTCTGAGTTTCCTTACACGAAGCACGTGTAAGTTGTTTACTTACCAATATTCATCCAATAGATATGCAAAGGTGGGATCCCTTTTGGAGGGTTACAGTGCAAGATCACAGAATCACCATGCTCCACGTCAAGGGGCTCAATTTTTTCTTTAGGGAATTTCGGTACACCTGTGCAAAAGCAAAGAAGTTCCTCTTTTACTGTTACCCTTGGAGATTTTCCCTTTAGTTCCCAATAAAATATTTACCTTAACATCACCATTTGCATTCTTGGCCCTTAGGTATTCCTGTTGTTTACCAAGTGATACAGGGTAACGAAGCATTTTAAAAAGAGCAAGACATTTTTGCTAGTTTTGTTCATTCATTAAGTGATTTGTCCGTGCTGCCCATGAGTTCTGCTGAAGAATTATTTTAGTGTACTTATTTTCAAATGCTGTCACTTATTTGACTAGTTCCTGCCAGACGGCACGAAGAGACAGATAACTGAAATGGGATTCTAAAATGAGCACAGAGGACAGGGTTCTGGCAGATCTGTGAAGATCAAAAATCAGTCTGGGAGTACAGGCTCTTCTGGGAAGTCTTTGGCTAAACAGCAGTTCCCAAGAAGCCACTGCAAGTCAGTGCAGGTGAGGACAGACATCAGACAGCTATTCTGCCTTGTGCTTGGAGCCATCCCGACTCTTATCCATCTCCAGATTGAGATGAAGCAGAAGCCTTATGTAAAGACAGTATTGCCTCCACATGCCCTCAGATGTAAAAAAAACCTCTGCTGTGCAGATCTGCAGGGTTTCTCAGCAAGCTTGTCCTTCAGGATGCAGAGACAGGCTTGGCACAAGGGAACACACCGGAGGTGCAAAAGGAAAGCATTATTTGGGCTTAAATATAGGTTAAATAATTAATGGATCAAGGACTTGGATTAATAGCCAAGGGAGTCAGCAGACTGTTTAAAGCCTGAACGACACCTGGCAAAGATCATCAACCTGGACTGTATCAGCAGCCCAAAATGCAACTGGAGCGTATCCAAGTAGAGAGGAAGTCGAGCTGGGCTGGAACCCTCCCCAGAGCAAGCACTGGAAGACTGAAGAGATTACTGTGAAGAAATTAGTCTGCAAAATGTAACCACTCCTTAAACGAATTTAACTAAGAGAGTTTCAGGGCGGACACTCTTCTGATTTCAGGCAAGTTCAAACTTATGAAAGTTTCAGTTCAGGCAACTTCATTAAACATTAAAATTATCAGCAATTAAACAGCTACAGAATGAAAGCAACCTGGCTGTGCAGGGCCAGACTGGCACAGCAACTACGGCCATCCTGGTGTTCAAGGCATGAGAGGGCACTCTGGGAGCAAATAAACAATTTAATATGTCCGCAGTCCAAGGGCACTGCAAGACAGCTGCAGTGTCACACAGCAGAAGTCAAGCTGAAAAGGAGGTTGAGAAGAAATACAGGGCCAGGACTGGGGAGTTTTTATTCATTGTAGCATTAGTGAACACAAAATGAAGCAATCAAACCAATGCTCATTGCCTAAGTGCAAATTGGTCATAGGTTTTGTGTTTTTTTTTTTCATGTCCAAAAGTGTTATTAATACAAATAGAAATTATTAGGAAAAACAACATGGATCTAATGAGCATCACCCACTCTGTAGTTGGCATTTCAAGTAAGGGAAAGAACGATATGTTAAATCCAATACATTCAATAATCAATACTTTTCAAGCCCTGGAAAGTGCATCTATTGACTGCTGGAGACAGAAAACATTTTCCAGTGGGAAAAAGCCAATTTGTTGACCTAAAGCTTGCTTACTTTTCCCAAAAGCACATCACTCAATAAAGCTAAGAGTGCTGGATCAGGTGAAGGATAAGGGATTTCTGACTAAGTCAAAATCAGGAGGTCAGCAAATAGACCAATAGTGAGACTGCTCATCTAAGGCATGGGAAACTTTTGTTCAAACCCATTTTCTGCCTCATTTGGCGCAACAATAAAATCTGGGTCTCCAATACCCCAGTTGGGTGCCATAATCACTGGCCTTTCCAGTCAGCTTCTGTAGCCAATAATTATCTAATTATACAAAAAAGATATCAATTCCCACCAGGAGACAGTGAAAAATCACCATCTTGGAGTCAATAGCTGGCAGTGCAGGCATTCCTTTCAGCACAGGCCCAAATGCCCACTTTGGTCCCTACTGGGGGAAGCAGCACTGTGAGCCCCAGTGTCTTGTATAACTTTAAATCGTATTTGAACAATGAGGTGTTTGAGGCTCCTTGGGTTTTCTACACTGTTTCATTTCACTTTGTTCAAAACTTTGATGTTCCCTCAATGCATAACTGGGAGTGCTTTGAACCCTTCAAGTTTTACAAGAGAAGAAAATTCAATTTTCATAACAAATTCCTGAGTCAAATCTCCTGACAAATATATTTATTCGCTGGTGCCCCATTGGTCTCAAAGTCTAGAAAAATGATTGCTTCTGAAAGGAGATTTATTAAGGCTCAGAAGCTAATATCACTGTAGGCTTTGGCTCTTGCACATCAGTTTTCAGTACATACATGGAAGAAATGGCTGGTTTTCTTTTCTGCTGTGCTGCTCTGTTTTAATTGGTGGATATTCCAGAATCAATCACTACTGATTTGTGGCTGATCTCAGAAACTATCACCATCAAATTAAGCTAGAAAGTACTGCAGAAGATTAACTGTGTCACAAAAGTGACACAGGATGGAGTTATCAAAGCAGCACATGGACACTGTAAAATTTACAACCAATTGATCTCCTTGCAGCGATACCACTAAAACTGTCACGTCAGTCCTACGTGCAATTCCCCACATACAGACATAACGAGAGAGGCCAGAGAATCCAGAGTAGCTCTAAGTGCTACATCTCACATATCCGTAACGCAGGGCAGAATGTTATTTAATGGCTCTGAGAAAGGCTTGCTGAAGTACCAGTGGGAGGACACTCACAACACAGGCAGGAGTGAAATAGCCACAGGGAAGATGACAAACTGCACACCTGACTTCAGTTATGGAAACATCTTCTAAAAGCCCATATGGATATATAAAGCTCTCAAAACAGTAGCAGGAATGACTTCATTGCTAAAGTATTATTTCCTGCCAAGGCTGTATCTTGAATGATGTACAGCATTCAAAAACCAGAATCACAGTGCTGTGGCAGTGTATAAACCATGGAAATGAAAGATTATCAGTTTCCAGAGTCATCTGTATAAGGAACCAGTCTCTCTTTAATCCCCGGGGTGATTCAAAGTTTAATGACCTAACTGTACTTGAGATCAGGCTGAAATACCAGTGACAAATTAGGCTGGCTGAGAGAAATTTCAGAACAGAGGCTGGGTCAGTCCCTCCTACTTATCTGTTCAGAATATACAGTAGAGACATGAGAAGCAAGAATAAAATCTGAATTTGAGTTAAGCTGTATACAGAAGTTTAGCAACCCGACTCTCAGCACTCTGGTGCCAGCAAGACTGCTGCAGGTTTACTCAGACACATATTAGCACACTTTTTGTTTCTGTCCTAATGCTAACAGCTGTAATGACTTTGTACAATTACAACTGTACTGAGGATGAGAATTTGTACCAGATAGAGAATGGAGTGCATTTAGCCTGGTGTTTTGCACGTTCCTGGGAAAAGCACTGAGAAGTCAAACTGAAGGCAGAAGGTTTCTGTAAGTAGCTGTAGAAGTCCTTGGTACCACTGTACCTGGTTCCTGTCAGTAACTGGTTTAAAATGGGAGCTGATTCATTATTTCAAGTCAGCAATTAATATATATTTTGAGAAACTATTGTAGGAAAACATCACTATGCACTAGGTCTCCTTTCGTAACTTTCTCTGTAGTCATTGTTGGAGATGTGTCCTGGATGCACAGTTGTATCATGGATACAACAAAATCTCTAAAAGATCTAATGGCAATGAAGAATAGAAATAATCAATAAAATTCTATACCCTGGAAATTCCTACCTCATCAGACGCTTTCATTAGGAGCTGAACAATTTGTTATACACACGTATGGCACAACACATCAAAGAATCTTAAACATCACTGAAAATCACCAACCACATGAGCAGCTTCCTGTACTCAGCTCAGTGCATCAACTGCTATTCAGGTCCATGCTGTAAATGCAGTAGTAAAATCTGTAATTTCCACTGCAACCTTTGAACTGTTTATGAGATATTACCTGCTTTAGTAATGCATTTTTTTAATTGCTTCATTACATTGAAAAAGTTAGGAAGTCTGACTGTAAGGAAGTCCGGGGATGTAAGGCCCCTTGCTCTCAAAGAAACAATTGTCTCTCAAGCAGACAATTTTATGTCTAGGCTCTGTTTCCATCCTCAGAACTTTGGTCTTTTAGAGCAAAGGCTTTAGAAATACTGAACATAAATTTTAACTGTTTGCCATGAAGAGTCTTTTACACTACAGTTAATTAAAGAAGTTTAAACCCTACTTCTCCTTCTTCTGGCATTGGGCCTACTAAGTAATTTGACCAATAGATTCCCTGAATACAGGAGGAGAGGAACCGAGGTCTGTGTTCTCACCACTACATCCATCTTCATTTTGCATGTATCTTGTAACAATCTAGGCTTTGTAAATGATACAAAAATGCAGATTAATCTCAGAGCCAATTCTTCTTCTTTCTCCTTTATGTCATTACATATAGGGGAGGTGGGGTATTTTCATTATGTAGGAGACATTTAATGATCATTTCTCCTGACGTTGCTAATGCTTTCCTGGAATGACTACTCTGAGTAAACACTCTTTTGTTTTCCTTTTCAGCAGCAACCTTACTTTCCTTACAAACCTGGCATTATACTTCTGTACAATGGAAATTTAATTTATGAAAAAAAACCTACCCTAGTCTGTCTTGCTGTTTTCTTCTCTACTTCACTGGCACAGCGACTTGCCAAGCAGCTTACATTTTACTTGAATACAGCTGGCAAAGCACTGCCACCTCTGCATCATTATCATGAATACATGTAGTGATCTCATATGTACCAGTCGCTGCTTCAAAACTTGTGGGTGAATAGAGGTAATTTATCCCAAAGTCTTCTGTGTCTGATTGCCTAATTTGCAGCAGTTCTGTGCACCAGCAGATCTCTTTCATTTGAGCAGAGCTGTAGACTATCCAGCGCTTCAGAAAATGAAAGGTGTCTTCTGTGCTCCCTGAATCCTGATTTAATTTGCAGCATCTATGTTATACAGTTAAAGAAATAGAGGCAGAAGTATAGGAATTAAAGTAAATGCCCTCATTTAGAGGGTTCTTAAATTTTCCTCTTCTAATTTCACGTTTTCCTATCTGAATTTATGACCAATACTGCCTTTCTCTTCCTCAGTTACTCTCAAACAAGTTCCCTAATTTCTTGATATGAAGCATCATAGGAACATTGTCCTGGCCAATGACCAGCTAGGTGACCTCCAGCTTTTACCAGTCAATTTTGTTCATCTCCACAACCCCAGTCCTGAAAGACACCTAATTTTCCCCCTGCCTTCCTCTGTGCTAATGATGGAAGTACTCATTTCTATGATCAGTAATTTTCATAACTACAGTTTTGAGAGCTCGTTTTCCATCCAGCTCCAGAACTTTAATATTCTTCCCTTAAGTATTTATACTACACCCTGAATGCTACCGACACCAGGCTAACGAACTTAGGGTTGATTGGATCACCACCCCTTGAGTTTCCAAACACTTGCTTTGTTTGCTGTTTCACAATAAGCTGCTATTTCCCCCAGCCCAACCCACGACTTCATATTCCATGCTCTGAGATGGAGGCCATACTGTCTTCCCAATTTCTGGGTGCTCAGCCCCACAGTAACCAGGCTGGAATATTATAGGCTTATGACTCTAAGCAGCATTTACCTTCCAATAAATATTTGGAAAGTGAAAGTATGATTCTTAATTCTTCATCAAACAGACTTTTCTTGCATTAGAAATAACACTAACTGAAAAGTTTCCCCCCTTTTTCATAAAAAACATTTTCCCAGCCTTAGATTCAAACCAGTTTTGTTTTCACTGACAATGCATTTCTATTCATTGCCCACTACATTTTTAATTTTTCAAATATTTCTTGCACTACTACTTATGTCCTTTTTTTATATTTTTTTCTTCTTCTCATTTCTGCCATTTGTTTTCCCTCTCCAAACATTTCAATATGTTAATGATGTGCTGGTATCCTCTCTCAAACCAATTATTTCTGTCCAGATTAGGCAGAGAATTTTATCATGCGGCAATTATCATCAATAGCTCTACTTTCTTCTTCACAGAAAGAGCAAGTATTAGAAGTGAAGAGAAAGCAGAGGCTTTAAGCAAATACAAATCAGAAAAGAATCCTGATTGGTTTCACGAAACAGGCAAAGACAGCAAACTATAAAGACATTTAAATAGCCAAGTCGAAACAAATAATCATTTTCTGTCACTGAACATTCAGTTCCCCTTTGAAAGTCTGTATTAATTTATCCACTAGCCCAACCTCCCAAGGCAAAGTGTAGCTCAGAAAGCAGAAGTAAACAATAAATGTTTTCCAGACTAATTTATCTGGGAAAACAGATGTGTGATTTACCCCACTGTTTCTGTATTAAGATGGTGAGGAGCATCACTTGGAAACACGTAAGATAAATGGTGTGGTCTGAATCCCTGCATTCAGATTTTGTTGTTCAGATTTCTTGTCTCAAAAATTGGAATGAAATAACAGTTTAGAGGGCACAAAGTTTTCTTTTGGCATCCACTGATTTACGAACAACACTATTTCCAAAGTTTTTTTTACATGAAGTATAATGAAAGTGAAGCAAAAGCCCTTACTTGGAACAATGAGTTCAATTTCTTTTGACATGGCAGTTCCCAGCACATTGGATGCATAGCAACGATATTTCCCTTGAAAATTGGTGATGATTCCATGGTTCTGAATCACAAATGTCCCAGAGTTGTTACGTGTGATTATCCTGGGATCAGATAACAGATCAAATGGTTTTCCATCCTTTGTCCAGTTGAAACTGAAAAATAAAACAACGATTACAAAGGAATGGCCGCAGTATAGAGAATACAAAAACCGTGGAAATTATAGTTCCAACACTGCGGTATCAAAACAAAAGAAAAGCAAAACTCTATCAAAGGAGGTGATGGTAAAATGAACACTGCTGCTATAATCTGTGCTAGCTATTAGGCATGTCTGCTATTGGACAGTTCACTTTTTTTGGACAACTGACTGGGACACAGGATAAGAACAGAGAGCTTAACAAAAGGACAATAAATGAGAGATGCCACCCGTGAAAGCAGAAGCCACACACTGGAAGAAATTACAGGACTCCAAAAAAGAAGCTATTTGCAGGACAGTTGGGACTTTCAACAGGGATCTATATGAGCTCTACAAGAGGTACCACAACAGAACCCAGGAGAACATGAGCAGACTGCTCAGAAATGAAACCTCTCCCAACGAGAAAAAGTCACGTTGCTATCTATTCACAGAGAGAGCGAAGGATTTCAAACAGCAGAAGCTGAATGGTTTAAATGGAAACAAAGCTTAACCTTGCCTTGAGATTCTGAGCAGGTTCCCAGACACCTGCTATTCCTTTCCTCCTCAAAAGAGGAATAATGTTTGGCAAAGGCTAAAAGCAAACTCAATGTCTGCTTGCTTCTCCAGGTGAAAGCAGTACTTACGTGGGCTGCGGGTTTCCGCTGGCTTCACATTTAATTGTAAAGTTCTCATCAAAAGGGTAGGCAACCTGGGTTTCAGATTGCTCCTTGATTGTTGGAAGCTGTGCAACTGAACACAAAGAGACAGCAGATTAAATCCTCTTTCAAGCATAGCTGTGCACAGCTCAGGGCCTTTCTTTCAACAAGACAATGTCAGGATTACCTCACTGCTGCAAACTGTGAGGCTTGCCTTAAATAAGGGATGATTATCATCACCCTCCTGACATCAACAACACTTTGCTCCCCAAATCTGTATGTGTCTATAGACTCACAGGCACAGGTATACACAAAATCACAAACTTCTGTCTTAATTCAAGCTAAAATTACAAGGAAAACCATTGACTGCAAAGATGAGAATGCAGCCTGCAGGACAAAAATGCCACGAGCAGTCACACAATGATTTTTCACTATCTTTTTTTTCTAAGGGAATTAAAAGTGTCGCAAATATCACTGTAACAAAGCCACAGGAGGAAAGATGTGCCCTGCCACGTAGCTAGGGATAATGGGATCGTCACATCCTTATAAGCAGCCAGAAAGAAAATTAACATCATCGTTGGTTTCTCTTCTAAGTCCAGGAAGCTCAGAGCTGAAGCAAACCGTGGAATGATACCGTACCATATGGTCTCAAAGCTGAGCAATTTCAGGCCCACCAGCTTCACTGATCAGACACAATTCCTTTTTATTAAAACATAAAGACCTTCATTAAAGCACATTAAGGGCTGGATGACTCCCCTGTGTAGGTACTTAAAGCCAGTGGTTGCCCAGACAGTTTGGCCTGCACTTTGCAGTCCAAGCTCTGCTCCTGCTTTACCTCAGCACAGGGAGTCGCTTCCATCTCCTTCACTGATAAACAAGTTCAGGTAGCTTTATGAAAACAGGCTAAAACCCTGCTTAATTGCCTTAATCCTCTGCAACCAGGGCTGCTCACAGCAGGTACCCAAGCTGCCAATGTCCTGCTCCGAAGCTGCTGCACTCAAAAGCCTGCTGAGACCCTACAGTTCTTTTTCCATCAGTATAATTCATTCAAAACCCAATATGGTTGAATTTTGTTTTGCTTCATCCCCAGAAAGCAAACTGTAGTGTGTAATCCTCCTGGCCACCCAGGCAGTGGAGTCCACTGGCCATCACTTATGTGGTCCCACGTGGGCCTCATCTTGTATTTCACACGTATTGAATGTACACAGACCATGTAGAATAGGCAGCTTGAACATCCCAGCCAGACGAACAGAGCTGGTGGGGTGCAAGGCATAGGAAATTCTTCTCTGGGGATTCATGTGCATCCTGAGACATACACCTGCTCCTTCTCCAGGCAAGACAGCAGGTTGGAGACAAGTAAATACTGCTTCATGTACATCCAAGAAGCTTCAGGGAGACTCAGAGCCAAAATAATGGATTTATGTGAAGGACAGATCTGACCCCTCAGAGCTAAGCAGTGTGTTGGATCTTGAACATCAGGTAGATGTTATTAGACAAGTTTACTGCTGCATCCAAACAAGTCTAAACAAAGTGCTTCATGCTTTTATCACTTCTAAATTTCCCAAAGGCCATGTTCTGGCAGAATTAAATTCAAAATGGAACAACTGAAAGTAGGATTTAATACTTTTTTCTTCAGGGAAAGGGAAAAAAGGGGAAAAAAAATAAATAAAGCAAGCATGCCAAAACAAAGCAGCAAAGTGTTCAGTAAATAGCTACAACTCACCTGATAACGGTATTTCAATAGCTGCTGCCAAATTCAGTACAAAGAAAAACAGGCATATGGTGATCCTCTTTGTGCTTAATAGCATCTCCATCATTCTTCTGTAAACAAGGAGTCCAAACAGAATGAGATATACCTTATGCTTCCTCTCACCATCAATTCAAATCAGATCTAAGATGGGAAACTGGGAGCCTAGCAAGGAGAAGAAACAGCCATATTAGTGTGTATTAACTTGGCTCTAATGAGGTTACTAAATTAAAGCAGTGCTTCAGGATTTGCAGTAAATTGCATGAAGGTACCATTTCCTCTCCTCTCTCCATCTCCTAGCTAGAAGAAGGTCCTATATTAAACCTCTAAAGTAAAATACATGCAAAAAGTAAAAATCAATTACAGCACAAAAGCATAATTATTTTTTGCTTTGCAATTAAAGCAGGAATAGTTTAAAATATGATATATTTGTAATTATTCCAGTTCATAAGTTTTCCTAATGAGAACTGTGTAAGTTGGAAAGTAATGTAACAGAGCTAATGAGATAAATTTAGTAATTTAGTACATTAATGACCTTACTCATAAATCTCATACATCTTTTTATCTTTTATTTATGCCTTAAAAAAACATAAAAAGGACATTTAGTCCAATTCAGTTCATTAATAAGGAGCAGAGCACGAAACATTGCCTTTTACTCCATTATCCCAGAACTACTGCACGTAGGTTTCACACATTCCAAACACATCCTCAGCACTGCATTACAAGGTAAAAACGTCAGGCACCAGAAGGAGCAAAAATCTTTGCTAATGAGAGCTTAAGTGCACTCACAGGGGAGTAAAGGAGAGGGCTCCACAAGTGTGGGTGTGTGAAGGATTTCAGTCATCAGCACCACTTGCAAATATCAGCGAAATATTAACAAGTGTAAGGTATGTTTTGTACTGCTTATCTGCTAACACAGCACTTACAGCACATCTACCTCGAGAAATTCAGATTTCAGCTGTCAGGATAGTTTTGCAGGAGCAGTGTCCACTACTGGGAACCTTTACTCACATAACTCATGAAACCCTCCTGGAAATCAACATCCTCGAGACTAAAATCCCTGGTTTAAGATTGAAATTGGCCAGCGAGGGGACAAGAGACAGACATGATAATCCCATAAGCCTCATTTGTGTAGAAATGAGGCTAAAAAGCAGATGTCATACAGATATCTTAGGCACTGAACTCTCCCTGATGGAAGATGCTGGCTGACCTGCTCAGTGCCATGCTCAGCCGAGAGAGACAGCACAGAGGGACAAGGGGATGGGGACCCTCTGACTGCAGATCAGCAACCAGCAGCAGCACACTGGTTTGAGGCAGGAGATAATCAGCTCAGCTGCATTCCTTCTGGCCCTGACCTGTGAGCAAGAGGCCCTTCCACAGCTCAGGCTACTAAGATCCTTATTCCACATCCCAGGTGACAATACATGGTGACTGCACAGCCTCTGCCCATACCTTCCAACGGATCCACAGCCACACGGATGCTCTGGCAGCACACTCCCTAGCCACACAGTTGCACTTCAGGTTCAAGCATCCCCCAGGCTCTCCCATCCATCCCAGCCTCGAACGCTGCCATGTACCCAAACTTCAGGCAGTGCAACGCTTCACTTCTACAACCATTCAACTCTGAACCAAAATTTCTCATCTCGTGCCAGATCCCAGCAAATGAACAATTTAGCTGCTGAAGTAATTTGGAGCAATAATTGAGGTGGCTGCACAAGAACTTGGCAGCAAAGGGCAGGTTTCGGTCTCAGCAGTGCCAAAGCACAGCGTTCTCCTGGGGCCCAGTGTGTGCCAGATAAAAACCTGCAGAATCTTAACCCTGGTAAAAACAACAGCTCAGCAGGAAGCTGGAGCAGCCCCACAGCTTGCTTTGGATACCTGTTTTTATTTCCCCCAGGAATCCCGAATTCTCCTCTGTTCTCCTTAGGAGTTGTCCAAAGCATCCCTTGCACCTGGGTGACAAAGACGACAGAAGAAAACCTTTCCTTGGCACAATGATCAGGAATGCCACAGTAAATGCTATGCTTAGGATCCCTTCTCCTCCTTTTCCCTTTTCCCCCTCCACCCCCGTTCCTCTCTTCTCTCAGCCTCAGGCTTAAGCCAACTAATTTGAATTCACCACAAATACTTATCTGCAGTTCCCTACCTGCAATTCATTATTTACTGTGCTGTTTGGTTAATAGTAAATACTGATTGCTCTAAGGACAGACCATTTGTTTGTTTAATGAGCTGCCTATTATTTACAGTGAGCAAATCTTTCAAAATATCGGCATTTCCAAGGAGCGATGCAGTTCCAGATTATTTCTATGTACAGCACCGCTTCCAAAACATGCTATACAAACATTGGATGGCTAAACAGGGAAAAAAATTAAGTTGTCATTTTTTTCCTCATAAACCTCGTGAGCAGTTTTCCCTACATGTAATTACTGCATTAAAATTGCTCATTAACAGTAGCAGGATGACAGCCAAAAATCCCAGATTAGAGATCTACTGCTTCCAAGAGAAATTACATTGTACTATTAAATATGGAATCAATCTCAGCTATTTGCTTCTCTCAAGCTATGGAAGATTTGGCTCCTGTATAAATTCTGTATGGCACAAATATTAAAGAAAGTACTGAATTCCCACAGCTTAATATTGCTGCGTTTCTGAGCTGACCTTTTCATTAGCTAGAATCAGACTTAATTTCTCAGTGACACATTATATTTCAGGATTGTTGAATAAAAGCTGTCAGTAATTAGAAGTCTCAGCCTTCAGGGTGGCCCCAGTGACAGAACATCAAAACAAAACTCTGGAAAATAAAAAAAAAAAAGTCTTTCCTGGTGTGAGAAATGAAAGTTGGGTTATTTAATTAGATCATATATTACAAGATAAGTGACTGTACAGCACAGAAGTTTAAATTAAGCAGTCTCACTTTTGGATCCAATCACAGAAGAAAAAAAATCCCAGCCCTGGACAAAGACAAGGAAGCACACTGCTCTGCTCCACGCTCAGCTCCCTCTGCACCGCTGCTCCAGAGCTGCTAGAGCACAGCTCAGTGCCAGCACCTCCTCTACCTCCTGATTTCTTTATGACCTCCCACCAGTTTGGAAATTCCACCTTCCTTCACCCGCAGCACCACTTAAATCCCAGCAGCTGGAGGAGAAAAATTCTGCATTTTCCACGCCGTGGGCAGGAACACCTCACTGCTTCACTAATTAGCTAAGAAAGGTTGATATTTATGCCAGTGAGGCCTTAAACGTAATGCTACAGCTGCAGTATTCAGGCAGCTGTTGTCCGTTTTTCCCCCCCTGAAAACAAGAAAAAATAGGACCAAAAAATAATGACAAAGAACCACCACCTGTGGTCATTCACGTTTGGAAAAGATGAGAAGGAACATTCAGAGGGACCCATCATTTTGCTCTGAGTGCTGATGTCGTGCATAGCTTTTCCCCCTAAAAAGCACACACAGCAGTGAGAAGATAACCTTCACTTGACTCCATCCCTATTGCCTATTTTTGGAACTTGCTGCTTTCTCCGGAAAGCAGTCCATATGCAAATGCTGGAGATGATTAAAGTAATCAACCAAATCAGAAAGGTGCCCTTCCTTCTGCAGGGAAATATTTCCCAAGTGTGTGTGAGGCTGCAGCACACAGTCGTGATGCGGCCTCGCTCCCAGGAGGCTTAGTGAGATGAGCCTATGCACCATGCACCTTGCCAAGGATTTTGTCAACATCTTTGGATTGCGCTGGTCAAAGTTTCCAGTGCAGTTAGGCAAGTTTTCAGTATTATTTCAGCAAATTCATGCTTTGAATGTGATTTTAACAACTGTGCCTTAACAGTTTTGTGATCTATCGGTTTTTAGGTCTTTCAATTTCACAAAATGCAAAGCTATCACTAGAAATGCAATAGATTGCATATAAAGGGTAAAGAAATACGCGTGCAAGGCTGTGAAATGTACTCCTGCAGTGCAAGCAGCAGTAAGACTGCTGATCCAATAACCAGTGTAAGTAGCATAACTAATTTCCCTGGGATGAGGCTTTAAGAAACAAATAAGGGTTCAGGGAGCCCAAACCTTGCCTGGTTTGCAGGAGGAGAAGGCCAGCAGATGTGATGTCACCACCAGGCAGGCAGACACCAGCATAGCTGCTGCCTATCCCCAAGGCAAGGCCTGCTGCCCCCAGCTGTGACCCACACTTCATCCATGGGTTGATTATGTGGAAACTCATTTTATGCAATTTCTGTTTGCAAGCTCCACAGGTTGGGAAGGGCAACACGTGCATCACCTGTCCTGCTGTCTGCCTGTGGGGAAACACAGCAGGACCAGCAATCCAGTTCTGGACACACTGCCTATCTGCTTCCAGCAAAATCCTACAATGTAATCCTGAGACTTCAGTACATCACATCCCATGTTGTTCTCAAACCATTCACAAGCTCTGGGAGTAGTTAATGTTGTCTCTTGGCCATCACTCTGTTGTGTAAGGACCCACCTGGCAGGTCTGCTTTAATTTGTTCTGTGCATCTAACTGCTGGAGCACCATACTACTGCATCACAGGATACCAGCATCATCTTTCTTAAGGCCTTGCACGTGTTATACATACACAGAGTGCCTGAAAAGCACAGAAACAGTGCTTCTAATCAGTACACGTGACCTGCTCATTGGTAGCTGCTTGCCAGCATGAAGCCTTCCTTCTTCAAGGCATCTAAGAATGTGAGCTCTAGCTGCCACTGGGGCTGTCTGCCAAAATCACTGCCTCGATCTCACATCTTCCCACCCTCTAATATTGGCAACCAGGACATGCAACACAGACTTTTATGGACCATCATAAAAACATTCCTCTCGTGGGCTGCAGAATGGCCCTCGTTATTTTAGGCACTTAGAACCAAGAAAATACAGAAAATTAACAGTTATGAGCTGAGGGACCCAGAGGGGCAGGGCAGGACAGAGACCTGCAAGGGGTACAAACTCGGCTTATGGGGAGACCAGCGCAGCTCCCTGCACAGACTTGGTCCTTCTCTGTGTGGGAACCAATCTGAACCTTCACACTCCATTTCTTCCAGCCTGCTCCTTGTTCTACTGTGGCAGCAATCTTTTTTTCTTTTTTTTTTCCAGGGGAATATCTAGATTTATGATGGCGTACTTGAGCTGTACAAACCCCATCCTGCAACATAAACTGCTCTCCTAAGTGCTTTGCAAACTTCTGAGAGATATACAATGATTTAATTAGCAAGGCTTTATGTTATCTAAAGTTAAAGTAGAAATAAAAATACCCTACTGCAATTTCAGATTATATTTCTCCATTGTACTATACAGCATAATTTACATAACACATGTATCAAGCACCATAAAATAAGGTGCTTGGCTTTATACATGCACAGCTTTACAGATGCAACCACAATCCAACCCCCTGCACATGCTGCATTGCTCTTCTTAAAAGCAAGCCATGCATTCATTCAGTTCTCATTAACCACTGGAATCAGAGACTTCCCCAGCCCCAGCAGGTGATGCAGTACAGGAGAGACAAGCACAACAGCCAGCTAAAAATCCAACTACTCTCAGAGGCTTTTGCCATTTTTTTTTCTTTCCACTTGACATACTGCACCCCCTAGATGAGTTACCTATATTTCTGGCTGAAACTAGTTTTACATTAATTGAAATTTTCATCAGCAATTAGCATTTCAGCTCATAGGTCAAGCATGAAACACAAAATAAAGTACGGTAGCAGTGGGGCTGAATGACTGGAAAGGACAGCATGTCAACCATGCACCGAGGGAATGAAAGCTGGTTGCAGTTTGTTTTCAGATCAGACTGCCAGCGACAGCCTCCTTCAGTGGAGGTGATGCAAATCCTCCTGATTGCAAAAGGAACTTGCACAGCAACGGCACTTTGTTCTTTTGTATGCTCATTCACTGCAGAAAACAATAGGAAAATCATGAGCTTTCTCATGATTCACCTTACATTGAAGCAATAACTCCTGGAGGAGCCTCACCTTGATGCCCAGCTCCAACCAGTGCTGGCCACAGCTCAGCAGGCTTCCACAGCATGGGGCTGGGTTTGCTTCAGAGTTCCCTGTGCTCAAAGCATGGTGACAACATGAATGGGAAAAAGGGTATAACTTCAAGCAAACTACCCCTACAAACAGCAGTAAACAGCTACTGCTCCTAAAGGTAAACTAAGTGGAAAATGAAACAAGTCTCTTTTCACATCCTATATTCCTGTATCCTCCTCCATCTTGCTGGAAATTAAAGTACAACATCAATAAGCATCCATTTGGAAGGGAAAATTCTGCTTGAATTCTGTTAAGTTGCATAAAATTGGAAAGAGAATCTTAATGTTCAACATCAGCCTCGCAAAACTGTGGCCTTCATTACCCATTCTGCCCATAACACAATATTCCTCAGAACAAGTGTGACTTCTGCTCACCAGTCTGTCTGCAGACATCGTGTAATCAATTACATGCGCATTGGGAAAAGGCGCTTTCCACATTGTGTATGTGAAAACTGTGCCATACACTTTGCACAGAGCCTCCATAGCACCACACGTTGTCCTTTTTCTTTAGAAAAAAATGAAGGAATCACAAATTCTGTTGGTCACGTTGTTTTTCCATCTCATTTGTATGGCACACATGGACAGATCCACCTCATTACTCTGCCATCCTCGCCCATAACTCACATCCCGTTATGCGCCATAGAAATGCTGATCAGAAAACAGCTCAGAAAGCTACAGAGAAGAGTCACTTATTAAAAAGCCAAGCATTACACGAGGCCTTTCATGCACTTCACTTTCCAATGCCTCTGACCTGTCTCCTGCCTCCTTCGTGCTCTCCTGCAGCTCCCTCTGACCCTATACACATCCCTGGAGCACAGGAAACCCTGGAGCTGAGCTGCTGCTCTTATTTGGTCAGCAAACGCAGGAAAGGAACAAATCTTCCAACTACTGCATTCTGTTTTATTCCACTCTGCAGAACAGTCAGTGGGGGCTTTCCTCATTAGATCCAGCAGGAGCTGCAGGTGACGCACTGCTGCAGTAATACTTCCATAACCCATGGATACCCCACACTGCAAACAGGCACTAATGGCTGGTAAAGGCATTGCAATGGGAAACTGAAAACTGCTTTTGCAATTACAGCCCATGCCCTTTGAGCTTTCCCCTCCTCTCTCCTCCTTCTCCTTTTATTTAGCTGCAGTTATTTAAAGCCCAGATCTCTGTTTAAGCAGCTGCCACAACCAGGCAGCCCCAGCAGCTCTTTTAATTAAATATTTGCTGCTGTGCAAGTTTTCTCTCCCTTTCCTGCTGTCCTCCTGGACAACGTTTGGTCCTGCAGAGATAACAGGTCGGCTGAGCACCCTCAGTCCCATGCCTGAAGTGTCCCAAATGAGGCAACGTCTCCATGAAAATTAATTTTATGATAAGCACCTTGTCATTTGCTATCAAAGAGAGCCATCAATAATAAGGAAAAGAAATAAAGCTTGCTTGGATTTAATAATCATTATTAAATTATGTCATTTACATAATTAGACTTCAGTAATAACTACAGACTATGGCATCTCTCTTCTATGACATGGAAAATTGGCAGAGTGCTTCACAAAGCAATAAAATGATTTTTCTTCTATTCCCTCTCATTTATAACTGCAAACATTAAGTTGACCAGGTAAGTGATGCCAGACCTCAACAGCTACCGAGGTCTGCATACAGGATGGGAATGGAGATGGGTATCACAACGTGAACAGAAGAATTTTTGAGAAATCTGAATTTCAAGCAGCTTTCTCAGACATCTGGAGTTCCTCCTTAGCCAGCAGAGCAGGATCCTGGACACAGCCAGCTGCAGCAGTACCATTGGATGCTATGTGCCTTCAGCCAGGAGCAGAGTGCAATGGATTTCCTCTCCTGCCTGCACTCCCAGCAGAGCATCTCAGGAACAGTGCACAGGGCTGAACACACACCACCAGGGCAGAATGTGCCTGGGGGGAAGGCAGCTGGTGGCAGGAGGGGTCACAGAGCAGAGCTGTCCTGACTCATCCCTGCATGGTCCATGCATGACTCAGACTTGAAACAGCAGAGTCAACTTGGTGTGAAACCCCATTCATCCATCTGACACTACTTGATGTCTGAAATGGAACAGGAAAAGGAATAATAATTAAATGCTTGCTGAGCGTGGATGCTCACAGCCCTCCTGCATGCAGACATGAGAGCAGGTTGGAGCTGAAGGGGTGCAGCGCTGCGGAACTGTGCAGATCAACACAAGACTTGGATAATGAAAGGGAGATGGAGAGAGAGAGAGATTTGGGGAAGCAGGAAGCAGCAAGAAGAGTACATGAGGAAATTGGAGCAGACACCAACAAGCATGGTACAGCCATGTGGGGCCATGAAGCAGCTGCTGTCAGATGTAGATGAGAGAGGGTACAGCTCCTGGGAGAGCACTGATGCTGTCAGAGCAGCAGAGATGCAGATGAGCTCAGGTTGGTGCCGGGCAGAGACAGACAGAGCAGGGAGAACTCACGCTGATGAAGCAGAATGCACTGGGGAGGGAATAAAAGCAGCACCAGATCCCAGAGCACCAAGTGGGGAATGGGAGATGCTGCAGTGGTGACAGCAGCTGCAGTGATGGGAGAGCAGCATAGAAAGCACAGAGCCCATGGGGGAAGGAGGGGGGAGAGGGGGGATCAAAACTGCTTGATCTTTCCCAGTGTCTCTACACAGTGCAAATTTATTGCAGAAATAAACTTCACCTATATTATATACACATATATACACATAAAATACATACACACACACAAGAACCACTGCAAAATACAGTATGGTGCAAGTGGTTCATTTGCATCAGTGCATGTGCACAGGAGGACTCAGATCTGCATCAGACTGTGTGCTCTGAGGTCAGGAGAGATACTCCTGGCTGACATCACCTCCACAGGCATAAACCAACAAACAAACAAACCTGACCTTCTATCTCTATAGGAAACAAAATTGAATTCTGCTTGTGTGCACCAAATCTCTTTCCCAGCCTTTCCAGTTAGCGGAAGAGATTGGTAAAGCAAAGCAGGGCTGGGGTTAGAACCAGACAAGAAAACCTTGATGGGGTGGGGTGTGGTATTACAGTGATATATATATATGTATATATGGGTTTAAAAATGTTTCCAAATATTTGCAATTCAGTGTTTCCTGAGAGAAACAGAAAAAGGCAATGCCTGGAATCCCTCTCTTCCCTAATTCATTCTCCAGTAAAGCGCAGTCTACTGGCAGCAGGCAAATAAATGCAAACCAAGAATTCTAAGGGACAGGCTCTTATCTCGCGTTGTTGGGCTGGAAGCCCCAAAGTGAAGACAAATGAGTTTCCTCCTTCAGAGCAAATGCCTTCTGCAGTTGCTAACCTTAAATTATATTTAAAGCAGTCTTGTGGGGCACAAGGACTACTGCTTTCATCAAAGAATCAGCATTTTCCCTAAATACTTAAAGCTTGTGTAATCCGGGACAAGTTTGGGCACCACAGGTGTTTGGGAGCGGCTCTCTCTGGCTGCTCCATCAGCTCTGGGGCTGCAGCCAGGAGGACCCACCCAGACACCCAGCCTGTTATCTCCAGCTCCACTTCTCAGGGCAACAGAAAACACACAGAAAACACCCAGACTGGCACAGAGCCTGGCTGCTGTGTTTCTAGAGCTGAGGGATGCAGAGATGGGACCAGTGCTTCAAGATATCCCTGTGCAAAGCAAGCTGGGTTTATCCCAAGCCCTTGATGTGCCAGCTCAGCGTTGCAAAAAAGCTGCAGATGAAGCACATGCATGAAGCACTCAGCTCCAATGCTTGCACAATGGCTTCACCCACACTCCAGAGCTGACCATTGCAGTTTGCTGCTCTCAGCAGCTCTTCCACAATGAATAGCCAGGAGTACATCTTTGCATTTCATCGCCAGGACAGCACACCACCTTTGCTCCAAGGCTTTGCAGAACTCAGGGCTGACCCCAAACCCATGACCCTAATGCCATCCCAAAAGCCTTTGTAGTCCTCCACCAGTGATGGAGCTCCCTACAGTACCCAGGTCCCTCCATCCTCCTTGTTTAAGCTACTCCCAAACGACATGACAGCTTAAAATATCTGTCATCCATGCTCCCTCCCTGCTGTTCTCTTCATAGCCATGCTGGGAGCACTGCAATGCAGTGATGAGCTCTGGGAAATTACTCCCCAGCTGGGGAATCAACAGCTACCAAAGTGCATGTCATCAGTGGGACGTGGGATGGATGCTTGTAATTCTAAAGCACAGCATTTTTAAATTATTTTTTTTAATGCATTTAGTCTCATCTGTACTTCTTGAACTAATATTTTGCTTCCTAATAGTTGCATTTTATAGCTAGGACAGAACTTCGTGAGGTACAAACTTCTGCAGTATAAAGTCAAGCTCTGCAGTAAAGTCAAGCAAACTCTTGTAGCAATTACACGCCCAGGAGATTTCATAACATCACAGAATTAACAAGCTGTCAGTTAATGATATATCACTCCACCTGCAATGGCTCCATCTCCAGAGAGGAAGCCCAGTCCACCTGCAATGACAATGACACAGCACAGCAGGGCAGTTATCACACACCAATATGAGATCCCACCTTATCTCAAAACGTTTCTTTCTGAAGTATTCAAGTGCAATTTGCTTCCACTTTCTCTCCAAGGAGGCAGTTTGCAGAGCCTCTGGATTGGAAAAAACGAGGTTCTGCTGAACAGAAACAATCTCAGTGAGTAACAAGAGGCAGTTTTCTCACCTCTTGTGACTGGCACTTGAAATCACTGCCACTTTTCTTTTGCTGCAGAGCATCTGTTTCAAAGGACCAGCCCCATGCAAAGGTGATGGATGGAGTCTTAACTCAAAATGGGTGTCAGGGAGGTTGAAGGTGAGCAGAGCTGCTCCAGCTGTGGATGTGTTATGGAAGCCATGGCTCTGTACAGCTCATTACGCACGCTGATAATTATTGTGATTAAGCGCAATCCAAGAGCTACCGCCTCTACTATTGAAAACTTAATGATTGAGAAAAGCTCAAAAGATTTCAAGGAAAAATACCGTTTTTTAATTATTATTTTTAAATATTACTTTGTAGGCTTCTCAGCAACGCCAAAGGTTACCAAAGCGATTACAAGCAATCCATACAAGGGGGTATTTGAGCTCTGCAATGAACTGCCCCAGCAGCTGCTGCCTTCAGCTCAGAGGTGAGCACCTGTTTGCTAAAGGGATTTCCTGCAAAATCTGCCTTGTTGGCCTGGCACTGAGAAACATAAGCAGCATACAGAGGTGGGCAGCCTGGAGCAGCACCCAGCTTTTTCTTTATTTCATTCTGCTGACAAATCTGAAGCTGACTCAAATTCTATTGGGTACATGACAAAGCAATAGAACTGCATCTCTGCACAGAGCTGACCTTATCATTTGTGTATTGGTTTCTTTCAGCAAATGACTAATTTATACACGCAGACCTTAATGCCACACTGTCTGGCAAAAGATGTAAAAACAATCCGTATTGTTACAGAGTCTATTAATATGTATTAAAAGTCACACTGCAGCTGACAGAAGACATTACTGTACACAGCATAAAAAATATGACTATTATATTTAAAATTTTCAACTAATCATGCATCGCTGATTTTCTCTGAGTTTATAATTTAAACCTTTAACTGTTTCCCAGCAACATCATCAAGTCAAGATTTCTGATGGATGGGGAGCCAAGAAAACTCATTACAGTAACAAGAAAATATAAAAAGAAAGGAAATGGGAACCCCGCTCTGAAAAAAAAAAAAAAAGAAAAAAAAAGAAAAATAAAAATAGAATTAATTTTTGCAAAAAAAAAGAGTGAGAAATAGCATGCACCTGCTTCCCCTACTGCTTCATATTCTATTGGTCATAATGCTAGCATGGCACACAGCACAAATCCCTGCAGAATGATGCCCAGCAGACAGCAGGTGATGCACGGCAGAACACACAGACTGGAGGTGAATTCTGTGTCCATGGTGGGGCTGATATCCTGGGAAATCAGACATCAGCACCAACCCACCAGCACAGCTTTGCCTTCTGCAGAAGGCAGGAAACGGCCCCCAATTCCTGTTTCACTCATGCTCTTAAAGGCATTTACTCAGCTCAGCTTATTTATAATCAGACAACTCAAGAGCCCAAACCCTGAGAGCCCCTGAAGCCCAGCACAGGAGCAGAGGTCCCAGTTCTCTCCAGAACAGCTCTCTCCAGGGGAGGAAGCCCTTCAGGCGTTGGATGAGGTTGAGATCAGGATTTCAAGGGATTCGGATGCTCTATTCACATCGGATGATATTCACATTAATATCATACCCAATCTCAAGCAGTAACTTGAAAATCCCAGAGAGGGTTTTTGGTTTTATCTTCTTGGTTTGTGTACTCTCCCCACGCAAGGAAGAAGCAGATCCGCTTATTAAAGCATTTATTAAACTTGCCAAGCTGTCTTCCTCCCCTCCTCCCCCCCCCCCACACCTCTGAGCTACCTTGTGTGAATGTTAATCAGCACCATTACATGGCACATCCTCTATGAAACGCTCACTGTGACTCCCACACTGCCCCCAAAAACAAGATTAATAACCACTCAGGACAGAAAGTTAAGAACAACAATCTAAAACTGTAAGATATTTTATAAACATTCATTTTTCCAGAGATTCCTATCCTTTTCCCCTCTGGTCACATCACTCATTTCCAAATTCTTGGTGATCTCCTCATATAGTTGCCTTCAAAACAATCTTAAGGGAGCAAGCAGAGTTCTTCCTATATTGTATAGATGCTGAGGCACAGAGGAGATATTTTTTATGATCAAACATGGCACAAAGATTTCAGATAACTGGACTATCTGAAGCCATTCTGTGTATGTGCAAGCTCCTGGAGCTCCCCATCACCTCAGGCACACGTGTGTAGGTAGATACGAATATATGTAGCTACACATGCACAAACATGAAAAAGAGGACAAGGTTACAGCAGCAAACCCTTTCAGCTCACTTGTCATCACCAGAAAGATTCGATTTCAAAAGCAGTGAGGCACGAGCATCCCAGTGCACCTCATCTCATCTCCACCCCCCTGCAATCAGCTGTATTTCTGAGGCCAGGTGACACCACTCAACACAA